GGGGGGGGGGGGGGGCGGCGGTGCGGGTGGGTAGTGGTCACCTCCCAGGGCTGGGTCCTAGAATGGGCACCCTGGAAGAATGGGTCTCCTTCCCCCCGTCAGCAATGGGGTTGGGACTCTCAATTTCAAGTAAGAGTTCTCAGGGTGAGGTGCTGGAAGGGGGCCCTGTCGGGAGTGGGGGTGCAGGGTTGGTTGGGCCCTGGGAAGCTGGTACAGGCTGGCGACGGGCAAAGAGGACACCTAGCAAAGAGATGAGGAATTGGTAGAGGGCAAAGACAAGCAGGAAAAGGTAAGGCAAAGAAATAGAAGAGGGAAACAAAAGTCAGTGTCCTGATTGCTAGAACATCACACACAGAGCCCTGTCACAACCAATGAGGACAAGCCCCTTGAGTCAGTTAGAGACTCTTGTGCCAATATAGATACCCTCCAACACGTAAACAAGAAACATTTACACTGATACACGACCCCATGATGAGACATCCCATGGTATTCATGCTAGAGAGGTCATGCCTTGGACCCCATGCCATATAGACACCCCCTTTAATCCAGGCCAGTGTAGCGATCCCCTGAACCCCATGTTACCCATGCAGGTTTGGGTATCCCTGAACCTCATGCTAGTAGAGAAAGTCTAAAACTTCCATGCCGGCATAAATACCCCTGACCTCATGCAAACAGCCTGCAGGACCCATACCAGTGTAGACCACCCCGTTGATCTCTAGGGCCATGTTGATACTGCTGATACCAGTGCCTGCCAGACTGAGAGGCCCATCCAGCTGCTCTTCTGTCCCAGAGGGAGCAGGGAGTCACATTTTGGGGAATTAGATTTCAGCTACAAGCTCCCCCCTCCATCCCTGTAGACAGCCCCCATCCCACTTCAGCCCCACACCTGTAATCACAGAAGTATCTACTGAGGGATCTGTCTGCCCCACCTCCAATGCCTATTGGGTGATGAGTCTGTCCTCCCTCATTGCAGAGGCCCTAAGCCCTCTCAGCAACAAGTCCCTCCTCACCCCTAAGCGGAACCTTGCCACGGGGCAGGAAACTGGGGGGTGCGCCGTGTCGAGGTAGGTCCATGGGCCCCATCAGCACAGCCCTCTTCTCTGGGGGTTCCTCTGGTGCCACCTTCTCACGTGCAGGTCCAAAGGCCAGGCCCACAGGCAGTGCCAGTCGAGGGGTGGGAATTCTGCTCTCCTCTGAAAAAAAACAAGCAAACATCATTTAGCTCCCCTGGCCCAAACAACACTGTCCCTGCGTCTAGTTCTCCCCACAGGCCTGGAACCAAGGGAGGTTACCCAAGTTCAAGCACAAAATTCAATCTCCCCTCCCATCCAGTCTCAGCGTAGAGGCTCTGAAAGCTGAAGAGCTCAAAAAGGCCAATATATCTGACTAGGTTGGTCCAATCTGGGGGATTCCCTTCCTTTTGATTGTTAAATAATCCAGGAAAAATAGCAGGCATAAACCACATGCAGATAGAAGTCATCAGTGAACAGGTGTGGAATGAAGCTGCTCTAGATAAAGGACGTTTTCCTGAGCTTCAGCCCCACACCTGTAATCACAGAAGTATCTACTGAGGGATCTGTCTGCCCCACCTCCAATGCCTATTGGGTGATGAGTCTGTCCTCCCTCATTGCAGAGGCCCTAAGCCCTCTCAGCAACAAGTCCCTCCTCACCCCTAAGCGGAACCTTGCCACGGGGCAGGAAACTGGGGGGTGCGCCGTGTCGAGGTAGGTCCATGGGCCCCATCAGCACAGCCCTCTTCTCTGGGGGTTCCTCTGGTGCCACCTTCTCACGTGCAGGTCCAAAGGCCAGGCCCACAGGCAGTGCCAGTCGAGGGGTGGGAATTCTGCTCTCCTCTGAAAAAAAACAAGCAAACATCATTTAGCTCCCCTGGCCCAAACAACACTGTCCCTGCGTCTAGTTCTCCCCACAGGCCTGGAACCAAGGGAGGTTACCCAAGTTCAAGCACAAAATTCAATCTCCCCTCCCATCCAGTCTCAGCGTAGAGGCTCTGAAAGCTGAAGAGCTCAAAAAGGCCAATATATCTGACTAGGTTGGTCCAATCTGGGGGATTCCCTTCCTTTTGATTGTTAAATAATCCAGGAAAAATAGCAGGCATAAACCACATGCAGATAGAAGTCATCAGTGAACAGGTGTGGAATGAAGCTGCTCTAGATAAAGGACGTTTTCCTGAGCTTCAGCCCCACACCGCGCGGTAACCCATACCCCAGAGCTCCCAACGTTTCACTGATCCCAAATATCACGACACCTAAACCTTAGCATGCACCAAACTTCAGTGCCCATCAGTCCTTACTGTCCCTATTCTTCGATGCCTCCCAGACCTCAGAGTTCCCATATTTTAATGTTCCCTTTATCTCAGCACCCCTCTAGGTCTCAGAGACCCTCAAAATACAGCCGCTCTACCCTCACACCTTTCTTAATGGGGCTCGGGCTTAGCTGCGCGCAGGCGTGGGCCGGCAGGCCGGAGGCGGGGCCATGAGCAGAGCGTAGGCCGGGCGTGGGCGGGGCGGGCCCGGGCTCAGGGGCGGGGCCAGAAGTGCCCCGAGGTGGCTGCCCAGCCAGGCCGAAGAGCGGGGCTGCGGTGTAAGACTGACGACGGCCCTCGCGTCGGTTGCTGTCGATGGCAGCCTGGAGCTCCCCAGGGGAGCTGAGCGCCCGCGTCTCGCATTCGTACGGGTACAGATACTTCATGTACCTAGGAGCGGACGGGGTGGGGTGGGGTGGGAGGCTGGGCCCAGCTGATCAAGCCTCACACCCGGACAAAACCCTCGGGGGGGCCCCCCAAGCCCCCGGCCCCCAGCTCCCGCGCCTCGCTCCCACCGCTCGCGCGCGCCTGGCCTCACTGGGTGCGTAGGGTGAAGGCGGCCGACGTGATGGTGGTGGGCAGGCTGAGGCCGCGCGTGACCTCCCGCCACACCTTGCGATTGATGACTTCCACCAGACCGCCCTTGGCCGTCACCAGGCGGAACAGCGCGTACAGGTCCAGCACCTGCTTCGCCATGATGGGCACACGGTTCACGGGTGTCCCTGATGAGGGGTGAGCAGAGAGTCAGGACACTAAGACCCTGTCTGCCGGCATTCACAAAGAGTGGAGGAATCGGCTTCCGGGACCTGTCTTGGCGAGGCCCTGGAGATGGGGAGGTGGGATTGCAGGCGGGGCCCACAGCCCCCAGAACCTCCACTGTAGCAGGAAGGACGGGAGGCTAGACTAGTGGGTGGCAAACTTCTTCTGTAAAGGGCCAAACAAATGGAAAATGTTTTAGGCTTTCCGGGCCAGTCTCTTAGAACTACTCCATTCTGCCATTGCAGGCTGAAAGGATATTTAAAGGAATAGAATATAGAGGATATTTAAAGGAATGAACGCGGCTCTAGTCCAATAAAACTTTATTCACACACTCTTAAATTAAAATTTCATACGTCCAGAAAGGTTATTCGTCTTTCAAATTTTCCCCTTATTTAAAAATGTGGAACCCCCTTCTTTTCTCGTGGGCGATTAGATTTGGCCTCCTGGCTTTAGTTTGCCGCCCCCTGGAGTAGACCATAGGAAGGACTTCCTGATAGTAGTGAAGAGCCAGACTCCTCTAAGCAGCGGCCCCCGGGTGGCTGCAGGAGGCAGGGGCATGGTGAATGGAAGAAGCAGCCCCCGCCGCGGCTCGCCGACTCCGCAGTCCCCGCCGCCCCCGCCGGCCGGTCCTGACAAAGGGGCCTGTCTGCGCTGAGCGATGGGCCCCAGTTAATTCCTTACCGATCTCGGCCCCTTCCGCTGCCGCCTTTGGACCCGAACAATTAGCTGCGGTCTGATTAATGGGGGGAAATTATCGGCCCCGCGGGACACCCTCCCCCGCACAGGGAGCAGAGTAACGCAGGGACCTGAGAGAGGCAGAGCTGGGGGAGGAGGGGGCTGGGGTCTGCTCAGACCACACTACCCACCCAGTGGAGGGGTACCGGGAGGAAGGGGCAGGGAGGGGCCACTGGGATCGGAATGACCCAGCCTTCCTGGGGAGCAAAAGGCCCTGGAGCCCCACTGAGGGTCCCTGGTTGGGAAGGGACCTGCGCGGGTGCTGACCTGGCCCTGGGGTGGGGGCCTGAGGGACTTTCGCCGCCAGCTGCACTACGGGAGTGGGGGGGGGGGGNGGGGGGGGGGGGAACCAGTGCAGCCAGTTAATTAGCGGCTTATCAGGCCGCTCTAGGAGTGAGTTAATTAGCTTTGTAGAGAGAGATAATGAGTCAGTCTTCTGGACCCATGAATCTGGGGAGAAACTGAAGTGATGGACTGCCGCCCACCCTGATCCCTTCATGGACCCTTGTTGCATTCACTTCTGGATCTGAGATTTCTGGAAAGGAATTCCTTCTCCTCCACAGCACCCCCTACCCCTCCAGAAGTCCTTCCTTGGGTCTAATTCCAGTCCTGCCTGCTGCAGAACACATTGGATGTTTCCTGCCTGAAGCAAGGGGAAACTGAGGCGAGACAAGGCTGGAGGAAGGGCCAGGGAAGAGAACCAAGGCACTCCCAGTCTCCCAATTCTGGAAACCCCCACACCCCAGGCCAGCCCCCTACCACTTCACCCTCCCACCCTCCCAATTGATCCCACACTCATTAACCTGCCAGTGGGCTGCCCACTAATTAATCCCTGGGTGGAGAAGGGGGGCAAGGTCAGAGGTTAAAGACGCTATTGAGGACCCAAAGGATAGGTGCTGCCAAGCCCAGATCTCTGCAAAGAGGGCCCAAACTGAGGACTAAACCCTGGGGTTTCCCTTCTTTGAACCTGGTACGTGAGAGTCCCTCCCTTACATCATCAACCCACTCACCCCTCTTCTGCATGAAGCTAAACAGGTCGTCCAGAAACTCTTTCCTCTTGGGGTCTGCATCGAGCTCGTACAGCTGGGGAAAAACTGAGGTCATTTCCCAGCTCTGTGTATCCCCCCGCCCCGGGACCCCCTTCAACTCCAACCCCTGGATAAAGGACCCCAGTTGAAGGGGCAAGGAGGTTCTGAAACATAGACTTCCTGAGAGAGCATTGAGCTCTTTGCCCTGGGGGCAGGTAGGGGCACTTTTTTTCCCCTGATACATACAGACACCCTCTACTGGCTAGTAATGCCCTGTCCTGGGCAGTTAACACCACCCACCTGGGGAGTAAGGGAAGAGAAAGCTGCAGAGGTTCTGCCTGCCTTCCAGAGCCCCAGGGAGGAAGTCAGGCTGGTGCTGTGTTCTACATTGAGGAAACTGACAGATATGGCTGAGTCACTCATTCATTCCTGCAAGGGCTTCTTGCTGCTCACATGTCTGTGTGCCAGGACTGGGGATGAGGGGCAGAGATGCCTCTAACCCATCCCTCTGGCAGGGTAGATGCTCAGGAAAGCTGGGTTGAAACCTAGGGCTTCTCAGCCCACATTCTGGTCTGATCTCCTTCCAGGAACAGTTTCCTCCACTTCAGAAGCTGCCACAGAGCCAATAGCTCTGGACCACCCAAGACCTGTAGGGTGAGCACTTGAAAGGCCAGGGATCCTCCCACCCCTTCTCAGTCACCCACTTCCAGTATCAGCTCTCAAATACCCCAAGGAGGGACAATCCCTAAGGTAATAGTGTCTTTTACCCAAGTAACAATCCCTGAGAAACACTGACAGGTAAACGCCATCCCCCAATAGGAACTCTCAGAGTAAAAAAATACCCATGAGTAACAAACCCCAGAGATGCACCTTTAGATCTCACTCCCACAAGAACTGACCCCTAAGTCTGAGATGGATACCTGCAGATAACACGTGTGCTTTCCAAGTAAGTCTCTGAATTACACCCAGGAGAAATAGTCACTAGAGCCACACCTCCAGAGTCCTGAGAAACAGTCCAAGTTTTACACAAAAGCCACAGAGTCTAACCACAGATTAACACTTCGGGAAAATACCCCAAACCAACACCCTATGAGTAACACCACCAGAATAGCACACCTAGAATCAGTGCCCTGCATAACACTTTCTAATGACAGCCTAGAGTAGTGCCTTAGAATAACACCCAGACGGGTTCCGCGGGGATGAAGAGCCTCAAATTAAGGCCCTGTGAGTAAGGTCTTGTCATTCCCATCTTCCCAGGGGCCCTTCAGTCCCACTGACTGTAGTGATCATCATGGGCTGGCAACTGTCACCCCATAGGACTCAGGCCAGGAAGAAGATTTGGATGGGGAGAAGGGGACAAGAAAGAGATGAAGTGGATATCAGCTTGCCAAAGGAGTGGTAACCTCCATTCCACTTTTAAAGACAGAGGTGGGCATCCCAGGACACCCTGACTGGTCCCTGGACTCTGACCTTGTGCCTTGACGTGGAGAAGGTGGCATAGTGCTGGCACTGGAATCCACAGCTCCCAGATCGCCCTCCCTCAGAATTCTTGAAGACTCCTACACCCCTCCCACTTGCCCTTCCAGCCTCAACAACAAGTGCCTTCAGTCTGTCGGCCTCCATTTTCCTGGGTGTCTCCTGCACTTTGCGGTGTGTGCCTTCTTTACGTCTCTCCCTCCCTGTCACTGTCTCTCCCTGTCTTCCCACTGTCTCTCTAGGTCTCTATCTCTGTCCTTCCATCCTGCAGAGCGCAGTGGGGGTGGGGGTGCTATTAATCCCCTGGCTCTGTTTTGCCCAAAGAGTAGGAAGGGGGAGGGCCTGACATTGATAGGGTCTTACCTGCTTGAATTGCTCCTCGTAGGTCCACTCGTGGGGATGAGGTCCAGGGGGCTGGCTGGAAGGTGAACTGCTGCCCCAGGTCCCTGGCCGGCTGTCCTCAGCTGCCTCATCTTCTGCCCCAGCTTCTTCTTCCTCCTCATCTTGGCCATCCTCTTCTTCCTCAGCTCCAACCTCCCCCAACCCCCTCTCAGGGGCCTCCAGGGTCCGGGGTCCAGGAAAGGAAGGCCCTGGGGGTGCTGCTGGTGGTGGTGGGTGTGGAGGGGCCAGTGGCCCCACCCCCTGGGCCAGCCTGGCTGCCTGCTGTCTCTGCAGGGCTTCCATGACAGCTTCCAGGCGCAGTCCCCCCACGGGTGGAGGGGCTGGCACCAGGCGGGGCCCTGGGGAAAGGGCTGCCTGTGGGGGAGGGAACGATGGGCGTTGGATCCAATCAAGGGGAGGTGGTCATGGACTCAGGGAAGCACCGGGTGGGGGGGAGGTGGGGCATGAGAAAAAAGTCAGAAAGATCGCTTTCTCAGAAATGCACCGAGAGGTAAAAGGAGCAGGAGAGACAGGGACGGGGCCCAGAGAGACAGAAACGGACACTGACAGCACAGGTAGAGACGGAGCAGATCAAAGAGGGTGACAAGGACCAAGGGACAGAGAGAGATGGAGGGGAGAGAGAAGGACAGGGAGACGTGAGGACAGAGATGGAGATGGGACCGAGAGATGGGGAGAGGCACGAGACCGGCAGGGACCAAGGTGGAGAGAGGCCGAGACAGCGGGCAGAGACAGAGGTGGGGAGAGATGAGATTAATAGAGACACCAGATAGGGAGACTAGGAAGGTAGGCGATAGAGGAGCAAGAGATAAATATCCAAGACCTGAGTGACAGGCTGTCCAGGGAGAGTCACAGAGAGACAGAGGCAGACAAATAGTAAGACCAGGGTAGAGAGGGACCAGAGAAGACCGACGCAGCAGGAGACAGAGACAGGAGAGATTCGACAGAGACAGCGCAAAACAGTAAACGAACGAGGGGCAGAGACAGGGAAGAAGACGGACACGGGGCAGAGAGGCTGAGGACTAGAACCGAGGAGGAGGGGGAACAGAGGATCCCCGGGACAGACCCCGGGACGGGGCCGGGGACGCCGGGGTCTCCTCGCCCGCTCCCCGGCTCCCGGCTGCCACACTCACCAGCCTGGCGCGGCCCGCTGCCCCCGGAGTCTCCACGGCGCTCCCTCCGTTCAGCCCGCCTCTCGGGCGGCCCCTGTAGCGGCTCGGTTCCCTGCGCAGGGTCCCCTGCCGTGCGCTCCGGCCGCCGCGCGCCCCTCCGGCCTCCGTGCGCTCACTCGCTGCTCTGCTCGCGGCGGCCGCGAGGGCGGGACCCGAGCGGGGCCGGGCGGGCGGGGAGGCAGGGAGAGGCCCCGGGAGGGGAGGGGGGCTCTGCGGCTTCCAGCCCCCCAACAGGTGTCTCCCACCCTCCATACAGCCAGATTCGGAGAGGAGAGGGCGCTGGAGAGCTGCTGGGGATCGTGCAAAGGAGAGTGAGGCGTACCCCATCACTGAACTCCGGTCCAGGGTCCTTCCCCGGCCGCACATGTCCGGGGTAGGGGCCCCACACCGGTACTCCGTGCCCGGCATCCGAACACCAACATTCGTGTTCACACACCAACACACCCTGTCCCGAGTTCACACACAGCAGCCGTGTCTCACACACTTGGCTACAGGGATGCTGTGGCGCAATGCCTAGACTGGCTGTGATCAGGAGGGGAATCACTGCAGGGTTCTGGGGTGACGGTGCAGGGCCTGGACAGAGCAGAAACTGCCCCCTGCCCTGCCTAGGTACTGGCCCCAGCTGCAGGCACGCTGCAGCTTGCACCATACTCGCACATGTTGAACTCACTTCTGCACTCACACACTCAGAGGTCCCTGAGCTGATTGCACACCAACATCAGGGCACATATACCACCTGCAGGTACAAAGCTACACCGTGTTTAGCTCCTTTGACGTTCTATTATGGAAAATGTCAACATATTCTCAAGAAGAGTGACTAGAATAACGAGCCTCCGGCACTCCTCATGAATTTCAACGGTGATCAGATTTTGCCCATTTTTCCAGACACCCTCCACCCATGTTTGCATAACTATCTCCAACTGCTCCAGGCTCACCTCACCCCCAGTTATCCTCCAGATGAGGAGATGCCATTCCTTAGCAGCCTGGACCCCACTCTTAAGTACCCTCATACATTCCACAGTTTCTTCCTATGCCCGAGGAAATCGACCTACAAAAAGCACCGAAGGTCACCCAGAGGTGATGCCAAGTGTGTGAGGCATCATGCCTCTGTAGGAGTGATAGCTGGCATGGTTGTGAAACTCTGCTGTGTCATTCATACTCACTGAGGTACACTAGTGCCAGGGCCAAGATTCCTCTAGGAGGCAGAAATTCAGGGGTGAGTTTTACCTTCTCCTTCCTCCTCCACTCTCTCCCAGTCAGTCTGTTCCTCTCAGACCCAGGTTGCCCTGGCCTGGACCACCAACTCTTCTTACCAAGCTCTTGTGGTGGGTAACACCCCTGTGCTCTCCCTGGCTCCAGCCTCCACCCTGTCCCCAGCTCATTTCCCGCTAGAGCACTAAGTCCTTGTTCTCTTTTAGCCCACCCCTGGGCACAGTGAGACTCAGTCCTGCTCATACCCTTGGATCACTCCAGTGCCCACCTGCTCAGATTTCAGATTGGACAGCCCAGACACCACCTCCACCAAGAAACCTTGGTGATCCCACCACTTTCAAATCCCATGCCCCCTGCTCCCACGGGGCAGAGGTAAGTTTCCTATTGGAAAGGTGGGAACTGGCTTGGGGGAATTCCAGTTCTGAGGGTCTGGAGATTGCTTTGGAGGGGATGGAGAGGGAGAAGAGACTGGAGGCTACTCCCCAAGGAGGAGAATCAAGTGGGGCTTCACGAATAGGGGGGCTTCCCTTGTGGCTCATTCGCAAAGAAGCTGTCCGCTGTTGCAGGAGACATTGTTTGATCACTGATCCGGGAAGATCCCACATGCCACACCACAACTATTGAGCCTGCGCTCTAGAGCCTGGGAGCCACAATTCATGAGCCCATGTGCCACAAGTACTGAAGCCCTAGTGCCAAAGCTTGTGCTATGCACCAAGAGAATCCACTGCAATGAGGAGCCCTCGCACCGCAACTATAGAGTACTCTCAGCCGGCCACTAGAGAAAAGCCTGCGCAGCAATAAAGGCTACGCACAGCCAAAAATAAATGAAATTCTGTCTTTAAAAAAGAAGCATAGTAAATTCACCTTTGGGTCTAGGCTAGGAAGGCACAATGGGGAAGGGCAGAGGAGAAGGAATAAGTTGACTGGAACTTGGTTTCTCTTTCTCTCTCTCCATCTGTGAAGAAGAAAGGCATCTTATACCCATATATAGCCCCCTCTGAGCCTGTACCTTACACAGACAGATAGATCTAGACCTCCATTCATCCAACACATACTTATGGAGCACCTACCTTATGTGAGGCAATGTTGGACACAGGAGTAAATATAGCAAAGTCCCTATTATAATGGCATAATTCCAGTGGGAGAAATATATAATGTGTATAATAAGCAAAATGGAGAAAAATAAATCTGGGTTGGGGGAATAGAAAGGGAATCATGTATTAGTTACCTATTATTGTGCAACAAATTACATTCAAACTTAGAAGCTTGAAACTGCATTTATTTTTTCACAATTTTGTGGATCAGGAATTCGAGAATGGCTTAGCTGAGGGGTGCTAACTGTCTTTTCATGAGGTTGTAGTCAAGATGTTGGCTGCAGTGATTTGAAGGTTTGGCTGGGACTGGAGGATCCTCTTTGCTTGCATGGCTATTGGCAAGAGGCTGTTCTCCCCAGCTGGGCCTCTCCATAGGAGAGGACCTCATGTCTGAGTGTCCTCCGACCTGGCAGCTGGTTTCCCCCAGAGAGAGTGACTAGAGAGGGAAGAGAGCTTTTTATAGGCTAGGTTTAGAAGTCACACACTGTCACTTCTGCCATATATTATTTGTTAAAAGTACATAACTAAGTCCAGCCTACACTTAAGGGGAAGGGAATTAGGCTTCACTTCTTAAGAGGAAGAGTATCAAAAATTTGCTATTTGAAAACCAACACAGAAGGGCTGATATTACCCAATATTAAGGGAAGGACTCACTGAGCAGGAATTTGAGGGAGGAAAGGCCATCCAGATACCTGGGGAAGAGACTTGCAGTCAGAACAGCAGGTGTAAATACCCTGAAGTGGAAGTTTGATGCGTTGGAAGAAATGCAAGGCCACCGGTCTAGAACACAGTGGCCAAGGTGACCAGTTGGATATTTGGTCAGAGGTAACATGGACCTTGGAGTAGGTTCTTGGAGGCAGTGAAAGGACTGGATGAGATGGGAAGCCATTGGAAATGGCTGAGCAGAGTGAAAGTCTGAGCAAAGAGTGAAAGTCTGACTCTGGTTGTTGAGTCTGGCTCTGACCTTCCACAACAGATGCAAGCATTAGGCTCAGTTAGGAGGCCATTGCAGTAATCCAGGCAAGAGATGATGATGGCTTGTACCAGGGTGGTAACAGTGGAGATGGCAAGGAGTTGTAAGATGCTGAATATGTTTTGAAGATAAATCTGTCAGGATCTGTTGATGTCTTGAATGTTGTAGAATGTGAGAGAATGAAAGGTATCCAAGATGACTCCAAGGTGTTTGGCCAAAGCACCTGGATAAATGGAGGTGCCCTTAACTGAGGCCATAAAGACTGCAGGAGGTGCAGGATTGGGAGAGAAATCGGTTTGTGTTGAACATTTTGAGATGCCAATTAGATGACCAAGTGAAGAGGTCAAGTGGAGATGAAAGTAATCAGCTATCAGAATCTGGAACTCAGAGGATGTTTAGACTGAGGCCAAAAATGATGCATCAAGACACATAAATGGTCCTCAAGTTCCAAACATTGTTGCAAATGGCAGAGTTTCCTTCTTTTCCATGGCTGAATAATATTCCTTGTAGATGTATACTGCATTTTCTTTATCTATTCATTCTTGAGAGTATTATGTGAAATGAAATAATCAGATAAAGACAAATGTTAATAAATGTGGACTCTAAAAAAACAAAAAACTGAACTCATAGAAACAGAGAACAGATTGGTGGTTGCCAGAGGTCAGGGGAGAAATGAGAGTGGTCAAAAGGTAAACTTCTGGTTATAAGATAAATAAGTCCTGGGGATGTAATGTACAGCATTCTGATTATAGTCAACAATATTATATGGCATATTTGCAAGTTGCTAACAGAGTAGATCTTGAAACCTCTAATCAAAAGAAAAAAATTATGACTGTGTGGTGATGAATGTTAACTTGTGGTAATCATTTCATAATATAGACATATATCAAATTATTATGTTGTATACCTTAAAATTAATAAAACCTTGCATATCAATTGTATCTCAGTATAACTGGTATGTAGACATATAGGTGGTACTTATTTATGGTTGTCCCATGTGGCTTATGGGATCTTAGTTTCCTGACCTGGGATTGAACCCAGACCCCAACAGTGGAAGCCTCAAATCTTAACCACTGGATTGCTAGGGAATTCCCTAGATGGTATTTAAAGTCATGAATTGGTTGCTATCACCTCAGAGCAGTATAGACCTGGGAAGTCAGAGGTTAAAGAAATAAGCAAGATCCAGCAAAGGAGGCAAAGAAGGAAGAGTAGTGTCCTCTAAGTGACATGAGGGTTTTAAGATTGTGTCAAGTTAAAGTGAGAAGAAGTAACCACTGGACTTAGCAGCAGAGATGGGGAGGAGCCCCGGAGCTTAGTCCTATGTGAAAGAAAGAAAGGACACAGGGAGCTGGGGCGTCCCTAGTAGATGTGGGCTCTAAGCCTAGAGGCAAAGGTGGGTTTCAGGATGAGAGAAATCCTGAGGCTTGACTTTGCAACCTGTGGTCAAACGGAGAGGCTGCAGCCAGGGCCTGTCATGGCCCACATGGCGGTGGTAGACTCTCAGGAGGCCATCTTGCCTGGACCTCACATTCATTCTGTGTGATCAGTTTAGACTTTTGATGTTCTCAATGGTTATATATGTAGTCTTTTGTATTTTTGCTCATTAGAATGTCAAATTTTTAGAATAAGAGATTTTTTTATAACCATGTTTCTTCCATTTTAAATATATTAGTGTGCTAAGAACTGAGGCCTGGGCCTTGCTCAACCTCAGAGCGAGGTAGGAGGGTGAAGCAAGTGCAGGGCCCGTGGGAGTGTACACTTCAGGCACCTCTCTGATCTCATCCTAGTCCCAGCCCTCACTACCTCAGACATCACCAGATAGTGTGCCTGCTGCCCACTCCTGGGAGCTCCCACCGAAGTAAGGGGTCCTGGAAAAAGCCGACTGGAGGAACTCTTGCTCTGGGTGGAGGAACAAGCTACCCTGGAGACCTAGTGCAAAGCAGATGGAGAATGACGCGGCCTTTCAGCTCAAAAGTGGCTGCACACTGCCACCCCGTGATCATTCAGGGTAGGAATCCCAGGACTGTTCCCAGAACAGCACTAGCAGAAGTAAGACCAAGACACCAAGAGGAAGACACACACCTCAGTTAGCCGTGAATTTCTTAAAACTGTGGCATTCAAGCCTGGTGGAGAGAACCTTATGAAACATGCTGATCTCAAGGCCTCAACCCAGAACTGATCTCTGGGGACTGGGCACAATAATCTATAGTCAATGAGCCTGCAGGTGACTCCTGGGAACACTGCAGTATTGAGTAAAAAGCTGCTGTCATAAACTGAATCACACAGTGAGGGAGAGACCTTCCTGGGGCCCCCAGGAGTTAGAGGGGGTTTTCCTGTTGCTCAGACACAAAAAGAAATGAAACTGTTCAACAGGTCTTTATTAACAGAGACAGACAGATGAACAGAGAATGCAGCAAGGGCAGTGTCCAGAAGCTGTGATGGGTGTGTGCACAGAAAAGGCTTTCTCTAGGCCAGCGATGGCCCCTTGGACCTGGGTCCACCTGTCTAGGTACTTGTCCCAGCAGTGGGCCCTGGGCTGAGGCCAGCTTCCCCATCATACCCTGGAGGGAGGTGTGACCTCAGCATTTTCCATTCTCCTGGTTCTCCAGAGGGTAGGGGACGGACCATGAGGATACTTGCATAGCAGGGGAACAAAAAGGGGTAAGGCATATGGTGAGGATGGGAGATGAAGGGGAAGGGCATCATAGCTGCAGATGAAGGGAGCCTCCAAAGGCAGCCCCTCTTCTCCCTCATCCCCCCTAATCAATGGCTGCTGGGCTAAAGGGTCAGACCCAGGCAGTGGAAATAGCCACCCCCACCCCTAACTCCAGAGCCCTGACTAGGGGCAGAGAGGCTCTGGAGAGGCCTGAGTTAGTGAGTCGAGCTTGTGGGATATGTGTTGGAACATGACTGGCTCCCTTGGTATACGTGGGGCTCCCTCTCTGGATGGGTGTGAATGCTGCCATACACACAGGATTCAGTATCTGAATGTGTGTCTCATGTGTTCCCATGACTCTCTATGTCTGGTTGTATAAGCATGTATGTCCCTGCTCATACATCAGGACCTCAGTATCTGCATGTGGTATGTTCCTGTCTTTTCACATGGGCTCCAGCAAGTGGATGTGTGCGGGCCCGCCCGCTCCTGTCCATCCACAGGTCCTCCTTCAGGCCTGGCTGGTCAGGCGTCCTGGCCGAAGAGGTAGGTGGTGAGTTCCAGCCGGAGGCCCCGGGCATAGGCTCGAAGAGTGTAGAAGAGGGTGAGGAAGTCCTGGGTGCTGAAGACAGTGTCAGCCAGTGCGAAGCCCAGGGTAGAGGGGATGACACCGCGGCCATACTCCACCATCCATGTGTTTGGCCCCCACTCCACAGCTGTTGCTTCACCAGGCCCGTGCACCACCGTCTCCCCTGGGGGGACAGGGAGCAACCACCTGAGGAGCTGGGTCCTGCCCTTCCCTTCCATGGCCACCCACACCCCCTGCCTATAGGCTCTCTAGGGGTAGGGAATGGACAGGCAGCTTCAGGAAAAGAAAAGCTTTACCTTACTGGTCTGGTTGGGTAAGGGGCTAAGACAGCCACTCCTGAACTTTCCTCTGTGGCATCATCTGGTTCATGTCCTCTAGTAGGGGAAGTCTTACTTAGCCCCACATCACTGTCTGGGAGCCAAGGAAGTCTGCATTCCCAAGCCTCACTCATGTCAAGCAGAAGTTTAGCTAAACTTGGGCTGGGCCTATTAGATAGGGTGAGATGAATATGAAACTTGCTAGGCTTTCTGAGAAATGTAGCTGTTCAATTACAATGCCGGCCACCCTTGTTTGTTTGTTTTTTGCTGTGCTATGTAGTATGCAGGATCTTAGTTCCCCGACCAGGGATCTGACCCATGCCCTCCTGCACTGGGAGTGCAGTCGTAACCACTGGACTGCCAGGGAAATCCCATGCCTGCCACGCTTGTAGCATTCAACCTCAAACTTACTTAGCAGTCTTAATGCTTCATTATACAAAAAAGGGGAGAAACCTGTCTGCCTTGTCTTTGGGGCATGACAGCATTTCTGACTACCCAACTGACTCCAGTAACTACTGGAATACTGGATGATTAAAAATCAGACATGGTTAACAGGAAGTTATGTTTCCACTTGGACAGGGGAAAGTCACAGAAACCCTCAACACTGTCTCACCAACCACCTGTGGTTTACCTGGAGGGCAAAGGAACTAGGCGGAGGGCCCCTCAACACACCCCCTTTTCCATGGCATGGCTCCTTCCCCCAACTACAGGCACCCAAGAATGAAGAGACCCACCTCTCTGACAAAGTCACCTAACCCACCTGGGTAGAAGACCTCACTTTTAGTAGTACCCTCTCTCCACTGGTGGAAGGTGCCAGAGATGATGGTATCCGAGATCTCAGCCCAGTAGCGCCCTGAGGAACAATCAAATGGACACTGAATACCAGGGTATCCGTAGCATCCTATGGCTTGGCCAAACGGCAGAAAGGAGGGCATGGGCCTTTGTACAGCCCCAGCCTCCCAGTCCGGCCCGCCGCCAGCACTGACCCGAGTGGCCGCTAGAGCCCAGAGCGGTGCCGAAGAGCAGCACGTACTCGGACAGGGAGGCGTGCAGAAGGCACATGGCGCCCATCCAGCCTCCCGCGTTCACGAACACCCACTGCAGGTCCTCGTCGGGCAGCACGTGGCCCGGGTGCAGCCGCCGCAGCTCCACGATCAGCCGAGAGAAGGCCAGCTCGTGGTCCAGCCCTGGTGGGGGAAGAGGAACAACAGAGTCAGGGCCAGCACCAGTCCGGAACTGGGAAACGGTGCCCCCGGAACCTGCAGCTCGTCCCGGCCCGCCCCAACCCGTGGTCCTCCACCCGTTCACCCGCCGGCTCACCCGCGTACTGCCGAGCCAGCTGCGCGATCTCTTCGTGCTGGAAGACGAAGCTCTGAGTGCCCAGCCAGAGCCAGAGCACCTGGGCCAGCACAGCCGCGACCGCCAGGAGCAGCGCGGCCCACGCCCACCGCCGGCCCATGGCCCAGCACATCCCTGTGGGTGGCCTGGCACAGTGCAGCGCGGGGGGTGCCGGGGCGGGAGGCTGTGACTCTCACTGCCTCCGAGTCTGCGGCGCGCGTTCCACTACCCGTTCCCCCGCCACCGCCGTGGTACGGCTCGCCCTGGCCAATCGGAACTGCCAGGGCGCCGGGGCACCGCCTCTCGGGTTGAACCATTATCTCTCCGGGAGCGGGGAGCCTGGAGCTCCGAGGGGGCGGGGCGCCGCCGCCCGCGTCAGGCGAGGGGGCGGGGCCAAGCCCTCTGAGCTGCCGGCCTTGGGGCCTCTAGGCGGGCTCTCTCCTAGCGCCGTCCTACTTGCGGTTGGAGGGGATGGCGGTGAAACGCAGGATGGACTGGCCCTCCTGGGCTCATTGACTGGTGAAGCAGGTGAACTCGGAAGCAGAGTCTTCCGGGACTTGTGATGGTAAAGGCCCGACTTTGTTAGCACAGAAGGTGGGAAGGAGGCTGTTCACCTTGGGAACGTATGGAAGGCTTTTGGAGGCGGTGGCTCTTGAGCAGTGTCTTTAAGAGCGATGGGAAGGGCATTGCAGTGAGCCATTGAGACCTTCTCCAAGAGCAAAGGCGTGGAAAAGAGACACAGCGTGGGGTCTTCCGGGGGCCGATAATTCTTTCTTTATTCAGAAGCACGAAATGTGAGAGGAGGGCCTTGTAAACCAACTGAAGGTTCTCAGCCGCGGGGGAGTGATAAAGGCAGAGAAGCAGAAGAAACAGAAAAAAGGCAGCATAATGCAGTGATAAGAAAGACTGACTGGATTAAAAACCTGGCCCCTGCCACCTACTAGTTGTGTGATCTTGGACAAGTTATTTAAACTCTTTGTAACTCAATTTTCTCATCTGTAAAATGGGATGAATAAAAGTACATAGTTTAAAAAAAAGTACATAGTTTATTGTGATGAAGACTAAACCAGTTAATATTTACAAAGCAATTAGAGTCTGGCATGTGGTGTCATTTGCTAGTTATATAAATAAAACATAAAGGAGAATTGGATGACTGTAGCCTCACACAGAATGATGGAATGAGAGGTCAACACAGTCAAATATAATTGAGCAGTCCTATTAAATGATGGGAAACGGTCACTGAGTTTCTCAGGAGGGGCATGTAGCAGAGAGGTTGCTATACATTCACAAATCCATTCCTTTTGCTCTTGGGCAGCCAGACTATATTCCAGTCTACTCAGTAGTTAGGCGAGGCCATGTGACTGTGTTCTGGCCAAAGAAGTATAGGCAGAAATGATGTATGCCTCTTCAAGGTCTGGCTCCTAAAACCTTCTGTGAAATTATTGACACACTCTCTCTTGCCTTATCTATTATCATAGTTACATACGGTTAAGTAGTTAGTAGAGAATTCTGAATGTTGCATGGGACAGAGCGCTTCCTCTCTCCCACAGTGGATTATGGTGCTAAGCCACTGAGTTTGCGGGTTGTTTGTTACAGTAACTAAGATTATTTATCCTGATTACTAAAGGGCAAAAGACTTGTTACAGTGTACTGTGCAGATAAGAGTAGAGCCTGGGAAGATGGACTATTTTTTTTTTTTTTTAGATACTTTTAACTTAGAAGGGAAAGATTTAAAAAGGGATTATTGCAAGACTGAGGGAACATGTTTTTGTATTGGCTCTGGCTTCTGTGACACTCCTGAATTGACCATTCTGTAGTATCCCGAGTAGCCCAGAACTCTGGTCTCTGCCCTGCTGTTTTAGGCAGAGCCCTCTGGGCCTGTCCAGGTCTGCAGCTCCCCTACCTGGTCTTTTCGAAATCTTCTCCAGCACACACTGTTTTTACAAAAGAGAAAGGCTAATTATTAGAGAGATGCAAATCAAAAGCACACTGAGGTATGACATCACATGGGTCAGAATGGCCATGATCAAATTGTCTATAAACAATAAATGCAGGACAGGATGTGGAGAAAAGGGAACCTTCCTATCCTATTGGTGTAAGTTTACCAGTAAGTTTACCAGTTGGTACAGCCACTATGGAGAACAGTATGGAGGTTCCCTAAAAAATAAAAATAGAGCTACCACATGATCCATCAATCCCACTCCTTTGCATATATCCAGAGAAAATCATAATTCGAAAAGATGCTTGCAGACTTCCTTGGTGGTGTAGTGGATAAAAATCTGCCTGCTAATGCAGGGTACACAGGTTCGATCTCTGGTGCAGGAAGATTCTACATGTGGCAGAGAAACTAAGCCTGTATGCCATAACTACTGAGCCCGCCCGCTGCAACTACCGAAGCCTGAGAGCCTAGAGCCTGTGCCCTGCGACAAGAGAAGCCACCACAATGAGAAGCCCGTGCATCACAACAAAGAGTAGCCCCTGCTTGCTTCAACTAGAGAAAGCCCACACAAAGAGCAGTGAAGACCCAACACAGCCAAAAATAAATAAATAAAATTATATTAAAAAGAGAAAAGATGCAAGTACCCTAATGTTCATTGCAACACTCTTTATAATAGCCAAGACATGGGATCAACCTAAATGTCCATTGACATGGATAAAAAAGATGTGGTACATACACAGGATGGAATATTACTCAGCCATAAAAAAGGATGAAATAATGGCAACACAGATGGACCTAGAGATTATCATACTAAGTGAAATAAGTCAGACAGAAACCAGTAACCAAAGCACATATTGCTGGGACTTCCCTGGAAGTCCGTTGGTTAAGACTTCATGCTTCCAATTCAGGGAATGCAGGTTGGATCTGTGGCCCTGGAACTAAGATCCCACATGCTATGGCATTTAAAAAAAAAAAAAAAATGCTGAATATTTGGAAATTCCCTGATGGTCCAGTGGTCTGTGCTTCCACTGCAGGGGGAATGGATTTGATCCCTGGTCGGAGGATTAAGATTCTGTATGCCATGTAGTATGACCAAAAATAAATAAATAAAATAAGCAAATAGTTTTTTAAAAAAAGCACATAACCCTTCCTGTTTTTCTCCATCCTGAACTCCCCTCTGGGCACACTGTAGTGGGGTCAGCTACAGTGGCTGCTGCAGTGGCAATATTTATTGTTATCAGACAACATGCCCTTTCCACAAAAAGCAGATCTTTTATCCCTTTTATCCCTTTCCCTCCCTATTTCATGGGCACCCAATGGGATATATAAAGTTCTGGTTTCTCAGCTCCCTGCCCTCTAGTGGTCGGCTTTAGATTTCAGTCCGAGGCCCCTGGGGCAGAGATAAGGTAAATGACCTAAGACCCAGTTTTTACATCTGAGCTCAGCAAAACACCTGGCTTGACCTGGTGTGGCTTGGGGGAAGGGGCCTTCCTGCTACTGCCCAGCTCCTAGCTCACTAAATTTCTTTCTTAAGGTTCACTGAGCAAGTTCCCTGGCAGCCGAGTGTTTAGGATTCTGGGCTGTCACTGCCATGACTCAGGTTCAATCCCTGGTTAGGGAACTGACCATCCTGTGCATGGTCAGTGCACATCCTGTGCCAAAAGAAAAAAGAAAGGAAGAAAGGCAAGCTCACTGAAGTCTCAGAGACATTTCAAAGCATCAAGAAGAGCCTGTCAACTTGGGTCCACAACTCAGTTTGGCCACTTACCATCCTCTGGATGATCTTGAGGTCTCTGTTCTCCACTGCAAAGTGGGGAAGAGGTTCAGGCAATATTTAGATGACTCTATAAAGTTCCAGGGGAGGAATTAATTTGAAGTTTATCCTAGTTTTAGCCAACTGGTTTGATCCAAGGAAAAGTTGGAGAAGGGACAGGATTGTGCAAAGGAAATACTCCTGACCTCACCCAGATGGTTGTTGGAGCTACTGATAGTCCTATCCTCCCCACAATTTCAGATTTCTTATAGCCTTCTTACCCTGACCACTTCCTATGCTTTGTGTGTGTGTGTACATATGACAGAGAGAGAGAGAATATGGTTAGTTAGCCCCCTTTCCCCAAACCTGTTTCTGCTGCCTAGTGGGGCAAGCATATGGTTACAGTGAGGTACCCACTCCTCCAAGTAGTTCCTGAAGCCTGGGTTTAGGTGAAGCGGATCAAACCCCACAGCCCCGTACCCCATCCCCTTGCTTTTCCTCCACCAGAGTCACTGAACAGGTAAGTGAGGTGATTGTGGATCCAGTTATACCCTTACCTGTCCCAGAATGTAAGCTCTGGGAGGGCTGAGACTATGACTTGTGCACACAGGTACATCCTTTTGCACCACATGGAGCATAGGTTCCTGGCACGCGGTAGATAATCAATAGGTAAATATTTGCTGAATGAATGATCAAATGAATGAGTTAATGCAGCAAAGAAGTCTTTTAAGCATCCTGGAGCTGAGGGATCTGTAGTAAGCAGTTTCACAGAGGCTGTTTCAGGGTAGTTAGTGGCTTTGGCCCTAGAGTGGGATCATCAAAGTCGCCCCCTATAGGGGTAGTCAGTCCTGAGCCCCGCCCCCAGGTGGCAGGGCGGACCCTCGGGCTGTCACGTGCTGGCGGCTGTCCAATCATCGAGGTCGGGGCGGGACCGGACAGACGAGGCGATGGGGGCGAAGTGAGCAGGCTCAAAGTTCCAGACGATACTTCCCCCCCGGTGGCCTCCAGTCGCGCCGCGCAGCGTGTCCTGAGAAGCGCCAGCGGGCGTTAGAGGCGGACGCCATGGCCACAAGCTTCCGGGCAAGCGGTAACTTCAGGGCGGCCGGGACTCGCTGGGACACGAAACTGAACCCTCCCCTTCCTTAGGAAGGGGCCGTCCCTGCCTGCTGGTCGGCGCGCCCACCGGTCCAGGCACGCGCGGCGAAGGGACACGCCGGTGTTGGGGCTGCAGGCTGATTGGCGCTGGGAGCGCTCAAGCTGCGGCCTTTAGCTCTTGAGCAGGGTGGGGCCAAGAGCGTGCATCCGAGCTTGGGCCTTCTGCAGGGGAGAAGGGGGCGGAGAGCTGTGTGACTGATCTGGACTCTCTGCCGCCAGAGCATCAGCATATCCGCTACAACCCGCTGCAAGATGAGTGGGTGCTGGTGTCAGCGCACCGCATGAAGCGTCCCTGGCAGGGGCAGGTCGAGCCCCCGCCTCTGACGACAGTACCCCGACATGACCCCCACAACCCTCTCTGTCCGGGGGCCACACGGGCCAATGGAGAGGTCAGTCTTTAGATCCTACATCTGCAGGCTTGGCGGGCGGTGGTGGGGTGGGAGTAGGGGAAGTAGCTCCGTCTCCTTTCCCTTACAGCTTCCCTTCACCCCACAGAGGAATGGACCCTAACCCTTCACCTCACAGTGGGAGTGGACCTCCTTCTGGGTCATATCCCACCAAATCTTTTTGACCTCAGAGTGGCCTTCCCCACCTAGTTATAACCTTGAGACCCACCGGATGCCTGGTGGCACGGGCCACCAGAGGCTTCTAGCCCGTCCTTGTCTGTAGGTGAATCCTGACTATGAAGGCATCTTCCTGTTTGACAATGACTTCCCAGCTCTGCGGCCGGATGCCCCTAGTCCAGGTAACCTGGCTCTGGATGCTGTTGGGGAGCAAAGAGGTTGTACCTTGTTGGGGGACTTCTGCTGCAGAGAGTGATACCCCTTTATCTTAGGACCCAGTGATCACCCCCTTTTCCAAGCAGAGGCTGCTCGAGGAGTTTGGTAACAATGAATTTCTACTCTTACACCCTTCAACCTGGGGCCTGGACTGAATACTCGGATTGGGCCCTACCCCCAAACACAGCAAGCCCTATACCTAAGTCACTTCTCCTTCCTTCACCACCTAGTAAGGTCATGTGCTTCCACCCCTGGTCGGATGTGACACTGCCACTCATGTCAGTCCCCGAGATCCGAGCTGTCGTTGATGCGTGGGCCTCAGTCACAGAGGAACTGGGTGCCCAGTACACTTGGGTGCAGGTCTGTGAGGTTGCTCCCTCTACTAGATGGTCAGGGAAGGGGTGGTACAGTTTGGTTCTGGGAATTGGCACTTTTATTTCCATGGGCTGTGGTCGGGAGGGGTTGACTTGGTATCTTTTTGGCTATAAAGCTCCCTACTCCTACCTCGTAGATCTTTGAAAACAAAGGAGCCATGATGGGCTGTTCTAACCCCCATCCCCACTGCCAGGTAAGAGTGTGAGGGGCTTCCATAGATATCTGGGCTGAGTCCAACCCAGCACTGTGGGGTGGGGAACCGGAGTAAGGGAAGGGCCAGAGGACGTATGCTACTGATGTGGAGGCTCAGTGGGTGAGGGATCTGCCTGCTCTTCTGCCCCTTGACAGGTGTGGGCCAGCAGCTTCCTACCAGATGTTGCCCAGCGTGAGGAGCGATGTCAGCGGGCCTATCAGAATCAGCATGGAGAACCCCTGCTCATGGAGTATGGCCGCCAGGAGCTGCTCAGGAAGGTGGGAGAAAGCCAAATCTTGTGTCCCTAAGAAGCCCCTAGCCTCACCCCAAAAGGACAGGTGTGTGAAGGAGAAGGGTAGAAGGGAAGTAGCAGAGGGACTTGCTAGGAAGACACAGCAATAAGCTAAAGGAAAGATAATGAAGGCTTAGACTAGGGTGGTAGTGATAGAGGTGGTGAGAAGCCATCAGTTTCTGCATAGGGTTTTTGGTCTTCCCTTACCTGTTTGCTGGCTTCCTCACGCCCACCTTGATGACATCATTTCCGCTGGGTTGGCCTAGGAACGTCTGGTCCTAACCAGTGAGCACTGGTTAGTTCTGGTCCCCTTCTGGGCAGTGTGGCCCTTCCAGACACTACTGCTGCCCCGCCGGCACGTGCGGCGGCTGCCCGAGCTGACCCCCGCTGAGCGTGACGGTGAGTCTCCCAACTGGGCCCCTGGGGCCAGGCTTTGGCGGGGGATGGCTCTGGTGGGGACAGCATCTGCGCCCCAGGCTGAGAGTCAGGCTCTGATTCTAGATCTATCCTCCATCATGAAGAAGCTCTTGACCAAGTATGACAACCTATTTGAGACATCCTTCCCCTACTCCATGGGCTGGCACGGTGAGGCTTCCCGAGTACCCATGTCTATCCCCAACGCCATTTCTGGGCTCCTGGGTCCTGGCTTAGTGGACTGCCACTCCCAGCAGGCCTTGGGACACTTGCTGGGGAAGCCTTTAGAGTAGATATGCCGGAACTGAGAGTGGAGGTGCGAACTTAGTGAAACTATGTCTCTCAGTGCACCTTCCAGTGCCTTGTCTCTCTGGCAGAGAATGCTGGAAGATGTAGTTTTCAGGTACCTGCTATGGTTTGGGGAGCTAGGCTGAAGAACTAAGAAAGGACCCTTCCCAACCATCTCTGCCTTCTTTCTATCAGGGGCTCCCACAGGATCAGAGGCTGGAGCCAACTGCGACCACTGGCAGCTACATGCTCATTATTACCCTCCACTCCTGCGCTCTGCTACAGTCCGGAAGTTCATGGTTGGCTATGAAATGCTTGCCCAGGCCCAGAGGGACCTCACCCCGGAGCAGGTCAGGACTTGGAGCACCCTGGATCCTTGGGTCCCCTGTTCTCTCCTTTCTCCTCTAGGGATCCCAACAATCATGACCCTGAAAACCCCCATAACTTGGGTATTCCTGGGGACTCCAGAGCTGCTCAACTCCTTCATCTCTGGCTATTCCAGCAGTCCTTCTCACCAACCTCCCCGCCCCACACACCCTCCCCAGTGTCTAGTGTCTTCTCACACTCAGAACTCCATACCCCATTCTGGGCAAACATTACCGTCCCTAATTATCCCCTTTCCCCCTTCCAGGCTGCAGAGAGACTAAGGGCACTTCCTGAGGTTCATTACCGCCTGGGGCAGAAGGACAGGGAGACAGCAGCCATCGCCTGACCACGCTGACCACAGGGCCTTCTGCCTGCGGACCAGGGCTTAGAGTTTGGGCAGATGTGGGATCAATAAAACTATGCTTCTCAAACTTTAATCACATATTCTAATGCCAGAGGAGTGTGAACTCTGATCCCTGGGGGTCTGGGGTTAAAGGCTGAAGGCATAGCTCCAGCCAGAACTTTTCTTTGTCAACTTTTTTGCTTACTCAGTCACTCAGTTGTGTCTGACTCTTTGCGACCCTTTGGACTGTAACCCACCAGGTTCCTCTGTCCATGGGATTTTTCAGGCAGGAATACTGGAGTGAGTTGCCATTTCCTCTTCCAAGGGGATCTTCCCGACCCAGGGATTGAACCCACGTCTCTAAGAGATGTGCAAAAATTTAAGAGTGCGACCTCCCCACCTCTCCTTCGCCCCAAATCTCTGAACAAAATTAATACTCAATGTCGTGTGTGGCTTATAGAGTCTTTTACTCCTAGGGTAACTAAGGCAGCCCAGTTTAAAATTTTTTAGAATCCTTTGTTCTTATCTTTGGCTGAGGCTTTGGGAAAACCAGAGCCTCCCTTGCAAAATCCCTAGGGTGTCAACTCACCAAGCCTGGGGCTGAGGGTTTGGTGGGCATCAGGCGAGGAGGATCCTAGTCCCAGTGGTCAGTGGCCAGGCCCTGGGCCGCCTGCCAGAACCCTGGCTTTGTGAGCGGCTGCATCTTGGCTCTGCTCCAGGCCACAGGGGCTGAATGGGCGGGCAGGGAACGTGTACGTGGCTTTTTGTCCTTGGCCTTTCCAGACTCCCACATGCAGCATGTATGCATAGTGTCTGCACACCTCTGTTGCCCCTGTGCCCCAGTCGTTGCAGAGGACAGAAGACAGCCCTGGCAGGGAGGGGCTGCCAGAGTTAGGAGCCCTGAGGCCTGGAAGGAGGGCATGGTTCGCAGTGACCCTGGGTCCAGCCCCGCTTCTCTGGACCTGTTTTCCTGGCAAGACTGTAACTGCGGCAATGACAAGTCATACAACCCAGGAGATGTGATGCACCTAGGGTCCTCCAGACATTTAGGTGAAGTCAGGAGCTTGTGAGTGATGCAGGAATGGCCAGAACACTTTTTGTCTTCTTTCTTTCCAAGGGAATTGAGTCTCCGGGAGGGGAAATCACATCAGGCAGTACTGTAATACCCTGACCCAGGAGAACCTTTGTTGCCTTCCAGCCCCTGGTCCTGTCTTCCTAAAGACCCTGGAGGGGAAGGGTCAACTTGGAGTGTTACCCTGTTTTGAAGAAGCTCAGACAAACGTGGCACACATTTTCCTTGAGCCCCCATTGACTGGGGAATGGAACCCTAGATGGGCGGCTAGTTTCTTAAGACATACATTCCTATCACACACACACACACACACACACGCACGCACGCACGCACGCACGCATATTTGATCCTACACCTTTGAATGGCCTGCATTTTGGAGTCATCCGGGGAGTTTTAAACAGTACTGATTTAATTGGAGTGTGGCTTGGCGGTTATAAAACCACAATGTCCAGCGACGTTTGAGGCCCACCGCCTTAACAGCAGTCCACCTCCTTGTCTTATCTGGAGTCAGGGGCACCTTCAGCTTCCCCGGTCACCTGCCCAGCAGCTCCTAAGCCACAAAACCTGAGGCTTTGTTTGCGGACGGCTGGGAGGGGGAGGGGCCTGGGAGCTTCGGGTCCCGCGGTCCCAGGAGGAGGGGCTTTCGGGGCCCGGACCCAGGAACCCAGCTCCACGCTCTGTCCCCCGGCGGCAGCCTCCTCAGTCCCGGACGGGACAGGAAGTGTCCGGCCGAGGTGGGGGTGGAGGTGATTGGCAGTTGGAGGCTCCAATGGGCCGAGACCCCCCCTATTTTACCCTGCTCCTTCCATTGGCGCCTGGGCGGAGCCGCCCCCACGGCGGGGCCCCAGGGCGGGAGGGAGTCGAGGCCGGGGCAGAGGGCGAGGGCGAGGGCGAGGGCGAGGGCGAGGGCGGAGGGCGCTGGCGGCGGCGGCCGCGGAAGGTGAGGCCTGATGGGGCCGCGGGTGAACTGGCGGGAGCCTGGCCAGGAGAGGGCGGGGCAGGGGGGTGTGGGATTGAGCGACTGACGGACTGTCAGTGTGCGTGCGTGTGTGTGTTTGTGTGTGTGTGTGTGCGCGCGCGCGCGTGTGAGACTTCCAAGGCTGTGTGTGACGATGTCAGTGTGCGAGACTTCACAACAGAGTCGCTTGGTGCAGATGTCAGCTAGCATGCCTGCGGGTGTCGCTGCGCTTGTGGCCGAGTCTGCATGTGGCTGTGCGGGTGTGCGATTCCGTGTGCATGTGGCTGTGCGGGTGTGCGATTCCGTGTGCGTGTGTCAGTGTGCGGTGTGGGGGCAGAGGCTGGGTCAAGCGTTTGTGCGGTGAGACGGCCCGTGAGCACACCGGGGCGACTGTGGTTTGGGAAGGTCTCTGCGAGATATGAGATCGCGTCTGCCAGCGTGAGAGTGCCTGGCTGGGTTTGTGTGTGCTCAGGTGTGACTTCAGCCGTGGCCGAGTAAGGATGGGACTTGCACTCCACGTGTGTCCTATGTCCTGACTGTTAGACTGGGGAGGGGTGGAGCTGGGTTTGCATCTTGGGGACCCATTTCTGTAGGTAGCTGATGACACTGACCTTTCTACTCAGTGGCCTGCGTGGACAGACCCATCCCAACACACTTCCCTTCCCCTTCTTTTAGTGCTCCTTTGTCACTGGCCCCTTGGTCCTTATTTTCTGTTTCCCTGCCTGACTCAGTTTTCTATGTCTTTTTCTCTCCCTATTACTTTCTTCCTAGAGCTCACACTCTGTATCTCTTCACAGTTTCGTCTCCCCAGGGATCTCTGCTAAGAGCCCCTTGGAAGAAGAGGCTTAAACCCTGGTGAGGATTTGCTCACAGGGAGTGCTGTGACCCCCATCCTAGGGGCGGAGTGCTAAGTGTGTGTGTGACTGTGCAAGGAAGACTTTGATGTCTGTGTCTTTGTGCGTGTCTGGGAATGTGTAAGTGTACATGTCTCAGTGTATCGGTGTAACTGTGAGTGGCTGTATCTGAGAGTGTGTGTCTGAGGGTAAGTGTGGGTCTTGTGAGTCTGGCACCAGGGACCAAAGGCATTTCCTGGTGCTGGGGCCTGGAGAGGAGAGGAGGGAGGTGGAGGGAGGTGAGAAATGGCTGGAACGTCCAGGGGAGGAGGAAGCTGGACTCTTTGGCTTTTCTTTGTATCCCTCAAAATGGGGCCTCTCTTCCCCTTAAAACACAGCCAGCTGTACCCTAAGGAAATATTTGCTGGGAAGCTAATAAGAAAAGAGTGGGAGCACAAGTGTGTGTCTGCTTTTTCGTTTGACTGTGTCCACGTGTGTTCAGGGGAGTGTCTTTGTTGATGGTGCCTAGGGAATCCCCCTGTGAGCCTGGCCGTGAGAACACAGGGAACCTCTCACTGACAGGGACAGAGCAGCCCTCCTTTCTCTGGCTGTGCCTGGCTGTTTCTGTGGCTTCCTTTCCAGACTTGGGGGAGGCCTCTTCCCTTCCCAGGGCCTTGGGTGAGAGGGGGTGGGAGGGGAGGCGGGAGGAAGGGGAGGGGGCCTGGCTAGGGGCCGGCGGAGCTGCGGGGGTGCAGAGGGGCGGGGGCAGGGAAGGGGAAGGAGGGGACGATTCTGGGGTCGCAGAACTGAGTGGAGCTGAGACGGTACTGTAGCTGGTGGGAGGAAGTCCTGGAGGCCATGGACAGTCAGCCACTGGGATCACCGAGGTAGGGCAGGGCTGAGCAGGGTAAATGTGGCTGGGGGGCTGGGGTGAGCCACTGGACACCCTTGGACAGACACACAGACACTTAGAGGTCCCTGCTCAGTTCTGTGGGTGGGGGGGATTTGGGCTCTCCCTCTTCTAGAGCCCTTGCCTGGGGCCCTTTCCCCATCTGTCCCTTCTCCTGCCCCAGTTCCCACCTCCCCACTGCCTTCCTCCTCCTGTTTTCTCCCAGCCTGAATCCCTCTCTTGTAGCACTCCAATCCCCCACTCATATACAGTTGGTTATGTTTTCAGCCTTTGTGAGATCCTGCTGCCCTAGCCCAGCCCTCACCGCCTCCCAGTTCTGATCTCTGGACACCTCTGGTCCCATGGCCCCCACCCCAGCCTCCTGTTCCCCCAGGCTCCTAGCTCCTCTCAGCCTCCTCTCCCCTCCCGCCACCCTGTCTCCATCTGCTGGCTCCTCGCCCACCCCAGCCTCTGGCAGCAGCCCGGGCATCTGGATCTGCTTAACTCTGCAGCCTCAGCCTGCACCCTAGCCCTGTCCAGCCTCCCAGGCTGGAGACCAACAAGATTCCAGAGTCAGGCTCAGAGGAGCGGCCCAAATAGCCAGAGCAAGGGGCCAGGCTTGGCAGCCAGGGCAGGGCTTGGCCTCCTGGCAGGGGAGCGGGATGGGCTCAGACCCACCCTTATCAGTCCCCGCCCCAGGGTGACAAGGGCGGCCACAGGTCAGTCAGAGGCAGCGACTGTCCCTGGGCCAGGTGGGAATGGACACGAAACTCCCAACAGCTGGATTGGAGGAGTTAATGGGAGTGATGGAGCCTGAGCCAGCGCTTGGTGCCAGGGGTGGGCGCCAAGGGTGGTGCGGGGGTAGGGGGGGGCGGTGCTGGCAGAGACTCTTGCCTCCGGCTTTTGTTCTGGGCCCTAAGCCCATGACTGAGAAGGAGGGTGTGATGGTGTGTGATGGTGTGTGTGTGTGTGTGTGTGTGTGTGTATACTCACACACAGCACTAGGTGTATGGTGGAAAGGGGACCTTACATCAGAGCCTCCAATGATGTCTGATAACTTTACCCCACATGGAACCTCTTCCTCCTAGAAAGCCCCAGTTTGAAAGTGGAGGAGGCAGGCTTTAGCCTCCCGTCTTGGGCATGGGGTATCTCTGACCTTGCCTTTCGCCCGCAGATGAGCAGCAGCTGCTCAGGGCTGAGCAGGGTCCTGGTGGCCGTGGCTGCAGCCCTGGTGTCTGCCTCCTCTCCCTGCCCCCAGGCCTGGGGCCCCCCAGGTGAGAAGAACCCTGCTTTATGACCCCCAACTCTGATTTGTGATGCCAGCAGCACTGTGGCCCCTTCTCAGGCCTGTCCCGTGACCCTCCCAACCGCTGACATCCAACCTGGCAACAGTCCCTCTCTACCCTGCCCTTTGAGCTCTGTCTTCAGATTATAACATGATGCTTTGACCCTATGACCCCACTCGGGTCTTAAAAGTTCCCCCCTTATCCTGTCACTCTCACAAAGGGTGGGGTAGGATGGGAGAGAGGGAAAGGAAGAGCCTCTGCTCAGAAATGCCTTCCGCAGGGGTCCAGTATGGGCAGCCTGGCAGGGCCCTGACGCTGTGTTGCCCTGGAGTGACTTCTGGGTAAGTGCTCCACCGGCCTGTTGGGCTGATGGAACCCTCTCACGATGCTTTCTTGGCCTTTCCCAGTCCTCAGACCCTCCCATCCTTGCCCCTTGTATCTGTAACCTTCACCTCTCTGTCTTAACCCTCAAACCATCCTTGTTCAACCGGACCCTCAACCTACATGTACTGAGTGCCTGCTAATTGCCTGGTCTATTCTAGCTAGACCTGGGATACAGCAGTGCACAGGCCAGGCAAGATGCTGGATAGTAACACAGCTGCAGGGCAGAAAATCAGAAGGGAGTGATGTGGAGGAGGCGAGCTGAGTGATCCCTTCTTAAGGTCATCAGGGAAGGCCCCTCTCAGGAGGTGATATATATATGTTTTATTTGGTTGCACTGGGTCTCAGTTGTGGCATGTGGGGTCTAATTCCCTGATGAGGGATCAAACCTGGGGCCCCCTGGGCCCCCTGCATTGGGAATGTGGAGTCTTAGACACTGGACCATTAGGGGAGTCCGTGAAGAGGTGATGTTGAAGGTGATTTCTGAAGGTTATGGTATAAGCAAGCATTCCTGACAGAGAGAACAGCCAGTGCAAAGCCCTGAAGTGGGAGTGAGTTCCATACTTTAAAAAAAAATCAGATTTGTAAACTTTTACAACTTATTTATTTTTGGCCATGCCCTGGTTTGCAGAATTTTAGTTTCCCGACCAGGGATCAAACCTGGGCCCTCAGCAGTGGAAGCACAGAGTCCCAACCGCTAGACCACTAGGGCATTCCTGAGCTCCACAGTCTTGAACTGAAAGAAGCATAACCTAACTGAAGTGCAGTGGTGGAAGGGGAGAGAGGGGGGTGATGAGGAAGAAAAGTGAGCTGAGGGCTAGAGCACCAGGGGCTTTGTAAGCCAGCAAACGGAATTTGAATTTTACCACAAGCACACCAAGAAGCCAGGGGAGAGCTATGGCACGGTCTGACTCGTCCTTTGACTCTTCCTTCCGTCTATCATCATCTCATCTCACTCTCAGGGCCCCGGTGTCCTGGTTTCGGGACGGGGAGACAAGGCTGCTCCAGGGACCTGATTCTGGGCTAGGGCCCCAGCTGGTCCTGGCCCGGGCAGAAAGCACTGACGAGGGCACCTATATCTGCCGGACCCTGGACGGTGCACTTGGGGGCATGGTGACCCTGCGGCTAGGCTGTGAGTTGGGGAGGAGTGCTGTGGGGGGTGATGAGGAGTGGAGCTCCGAAGGGACTTCGGGCCCAGAGGAAGACCTCTGGGATGGGGAGGGCCTGGGAACTTCGCATTCCCCAGCTGCACCCTCTGCCTCTAGACCCTCCGGCCCGCCCTGTTGTTTCCTGCCGAGCTGCCGACTATGAGAACTTCTCCTGCATCTGGAGTCCCAGCCAGGCTAGCGGTTTACCCACCCGCTACCTCACCTCCTACAGGTGTGTGCAGCGTCGGGTGTGTGTCCCTGTATGTTTGGGTGTATAGCAAAACGTGGGTGTGGGTGTAGGTAGGGAGGTACTGAAGGAGGCCAGAGAGAGAGGGAGGACCCTCCTTTCCTTCCTGACCTCAGATGACCTCTCCCCTGTCAGGAAGAAGACTGTGGCGGGAGCTGATGGCCAAAGGTAGGACGTGAGGGGGAGGCTGGGGGCTCCAGCTGGATCCCGCAGCGAGCATTTCCAGAGTTCAAGACCACATCCTTCCTCCTAGGATGAGTCCATCCACAGGGCCCTGGCCATGCTCACAGGACCCCCCTGGGGCGGCCCGCTGTGTAGTCCACGGGGCAGAGTTCTGGAGCCAGTATCGGATCAATGTGACGGAAGTGAACCCCCTGGGGGCCAGCACCCGCCTGCTGGATGTGAGCTTGCAGAGCATCTGTGAGTACCCAGTCCTGGAGGGCTCCCCAGATCCCTACCACAGAGACGCCAGATGGGACCTCAGAGTATAGATACCCCCATAATTCATAACCCTCCTCCTGCTGGGCTCCCACACAGTTTCCTCCCAGCACAGGTCCATTTCAGCACACAGATGGCCCCCAGCGAGACTTCGGAAGAATCCAGAGATCAGAACCCTAGGAGGCTGGGTTACATCAGCTTCAGGAAGCTACTGCCACCACCCCCTGCCCTTACAAGTCCTTCCTGGCTGCCCAACCCCAGTGCTGCCTCTCTGCTTCCAGGCCCAGTGCTGAAGGCAGCTCCATCTCACATCCTCCCTGCCCAGTGGAAAGCCCTTGCTGGCTTCCTCTTGATCTGTGTGTGGGAGGGGATCACGAAGGCTCTGGCTGGAATTTGGGCCAACTCATCTTCCTTGGAGGGAAAACAGCTCACTCTTTAACTCACTCAACAAACATTTCAAAAATCCATCCTCAGATAACAGGGATGACAGATAAATCCTGAGCCTAAGGGATGATCAAGCCGAAGATTTCCCCAAGTTCCTCCGCAGTGCCTCCCCTCCGGGACTCTTAGGCACACACCCGCCTTCCCTTGCGGGGTGATGGGGGAAGGATGAGTACTTCTCCTGTAGCCTGACTTTGTGTCCCCACCTCCCCTTCCACCTGCCCTCAGTGCGCCCTGACCCGCCCCAGGGGCTGCGGGTCGAGTCGGTGCCTGGCTATCCTCGCCGCCTGCGTGCTAGCTGGATGTACCCTGCCTCCTGGCCCCGCCAGCCCCACTTCCTGCTTAAGTTCCGGCTGCAGTACCGCCCAGCACAGCATCCAGCCTGGTCTACGGTGAGGCCTTGGCGTGCGCCCTGGTCTGGGGCTGTGGGTCCTGTCTCTAGTTTCCTGTTGCTGGCGTTCTGCATGACCAGATCTGGCAGGTCACTGATGCCCCCTGGGCTCCCCACCTACAGAGCACTCTCCCTAGGCTAGGCCTTGTCACAGGGACTGCGCCTCCGCCCAATGCCCTCCAGGGCTGTAACTGTTGTCAGCCCATCTGCGGGTAGATAGCAGTGACTTTTTAAAAATAACTTTTCTAGGAAAGGGAGGGCCTTTCACCCAGAGGCACACACACTGATATACTCATGTGTGAATAAAGGTGAATTCCCACCTCTGGAGGTGGCAGAGATTGGCTAGCATCAGGCCCGGTGAGCTGCTGCCTCAGATAATAACCAATATTTACTGAACACTGCCAAGCACCGTGCTTCACATTTACTGTCTCCTTTAGTGGGCTTCCCTGGTGGCTCAGAGGTTAAAGCCGTCTGCCTGGAATGTGGAGACCCCGGTTCTATCCCTGAGTTGGGAAGATCCCCTGGAGAAGGAAATGGCAACCTACTCCAGTACTCTTGCCTGGAGAATCCCATGGAGAGAGGAGCATGGTAGGCTACAGTCCATGGGGTACAGTGGAAAGCCCTTGCTGGCTTCCTCTTGATCTGTGTGTGGGAGGGGATCACGAAGGCTCTGGCTGGAATTTGGGCCAACTCATCTTCCTTGGAGGGAAAACAGCTCACTCTTTAACTCACTCAACAAACATTTCAAAAATCCATCCTCAGATAACAGGGATGACAGATAAATCCTGAGCCTAAGGGATGATCAAGCCGAAGATTTCCCCAAGTTCCTCCGCAGTGCCTCCCCTCCGGGACTCTTAGGCACACACCCGCCTTCCCTTGCGGGGTGATGGGGGAAGGATGAGTACTTCTCCTGTAGCCTGACTTTGTGTCCCCCCCTCCCCTTCCACCTGCCCTCAGTGCGCCCTGACCCGCCCCAGGGGCTGCGGGTCGAGTCGGTGCCTGGCTATCCTCGCCGCCTGCGTGCTAGCTGGATGTACCCTGCCTCCTGGCCCCGCCAGCCCCACTTCCTGCTTAAGTTCCGGCTGCAGTACCGCCCAGCACAGCATCCAGCCTGGTCTACGGTGAGGCCTTGGCGTGCGCCCTGGTCTGGGGCTGTGGGTCCTGTCTCTAGTTTCCTGTTGCTGGCGTTCTGCATGACCAGATCTGGCAGGTCACTGATGCCCCCTGGGCTCCCCACCTACAGAGCACTCTCCCTAGGCTAGGCCTTGTCACAGGGACTGCGCCTCCGCCCAATGCCCTCCAGGGCTGTAACTGTTGTCAGCCCATCTGCGGGTAGATAGCAGTGACTTTTTAAAAATAACTTTTCTAGGAAAGGGAGGGCCTTTCACCCAGAGGCACACACACTGATATACTCATGTGTGAATAAAGGTGAATTCCCACCTCTGGAGGTGGCAGAGATTGGCTAGCATCAGGCCCGGTGAGCTGCTGCCTCAGATAATAACCAATATTTACTGAACACTGCCAAGCACCGTGCTTCACATTTACTGTCTCCTTTAGTGGGCTTCCCTGGTGGCTCAGAGGTTAAAGCCGTCTGCCTGGAATGTGGAGACCCCGGTTCTATCCCTGAGTTGGGAAGATCCCCTGGAGAAGGAAATGGCAACCTACTCCAGTACTCTTGCCTGGAGAATCCCATGGAGAGAGGAGCATGGTAGGCTACAGTCCATGGGGTCGCAAAGAGTTGGACACGACTGTGCGACTTCACTTTCTTTCTTTCTTTCTTAGGTGTACTATCTCCTTTAGGTGTATACATGTACTATCTCCTTTAGGTGTATTCACCTCTATTTTACAAATGGAGAAACTGAGGCACAGGGAGAGGCCCACGTTCACTCAGTAAGTGGTATAGCAAAGATCTGAATCCAGGCAGTCAGCCTGAAATCACAGCCTATCTACAGAACCACCATGCACTTCTGTCTTGTGAACACTAGGTGTAGACCTGACACCACCAGCCACCCTGTATGAGGCTCAGAAGGCTGCATCAGACTGACAGGGACAGGACTGGGAGGAAAGGGTGCTTTTTGCAGACTGAGGCTGGAGTGGGGTGGGAGGGCAGGAAGGCTGAGTGCTTATAACTGGATAACCTGCCAGGCAACTATCTGCACTCCCAGGTGGAGCCAGCTGGATTGGAGGAGGTGATCACCGATGCCGTGGCTGGGCTGCCCCATGTCGTGCGGGTCAGTGCCCGGGATTTTCTGGACGCTGGCACCTGGAGCTCCTGGAGCCCCGAGGCCTGGGGGACTCCAAGCACCGGTGAGACACAGAGCCTGAGGAAAGGGCAGAGGCCAAGCCAACTAGTATCTGTCTGCAGGGACTATCTGGCAATTGCCCCGCCCTAGCTTAAGCCCCGCCCTAGCTTTAACCCTGTCTCTCAGCCTTTACCCCTACTTACTGGCTCTGCCCCTTCAAACTCTGCCTCCTAGGCACTGCAGGGCCCAACCCTGGCCCTGGCCTCTCCTGGCGCCTGGCAGGCCCTGGCCTCTGCCCCCACCCGTCGTGGGCAGTTCTCAGGTCTTATCTCCCTCCAGAGCCCCTACCGAAGGAGATACCAGTTGGGGACCAGCAGCACACACAGACAGAGGAAGAACCTCAGGCGGACAGCCCCGCTCCCCCAGGGCCGTCCCTTCTACCTGACCCTCGGCCACTTGGTGAGCTTGAGCAGATGGGCAAAGGTGGGAGAGAATGACAAAGCCCCAGGGAAAAGGGGACACCGAGTTTGGTCAGGCAGGCTTGCTCTTGCAGCTGACATGTGACCCTCCGCCTCAGACCATAGAGACCCCCTGGAGCAGGTGGCTGTGCTGGCATCTTTGGGAATCTTCTCTTTCCTGGGACTGGTGGCTGGGGCCCTGGCATTGGGGCTCTGGTAAGTGACTGGCCCCTTAGCTTCTGATCCCACACAAATGCTCTGATACCCACAGACCACACCCATTCCAGCCCCTCATGACCCCAATCCCAGCATATCTGATTCTAGAACCATTCCTCCTCCCTCTTCCACTCCCAACTTCATGATTCTACTCTTTCCTCTCTTGACCCTTTACTAATAAAACCTATTTGGAAGAGTCTGAGATGCCCCACATTGTTAGGGAGACAACTTCTTTTTTGTGCTCTAGGCTAAGGTTGAGACCAGATGAGAAGGATGGACCCCAAAAATCTGGGCTCTTGGCCCCAATGATTTCAGTGGACAAGCTTCCAGGTGAGTGTGACATCTGGGAGGTTTGGACTTGGGAGATGTGTGATCTTATTTTGACTGTATGGATTAAGAGCCACATGCTTTAATCCTCATAAGGGTTTTGGGAATCAAAAGGTGGGTCTCCTCATTCTTATGACTTCCGGACTCAGATGGGCCTTTCATTCTTGAGTCCCTGGGCTTAGAGTTGGGTCTCTTCTGTCTCTTGCAGGATGCTGGGGCTCCTAGATGGGACTCCTTCATTTTCAGGGTATTATGCCCAGAGCTGGATGTCCATCTTTATTCTTGGGGTATCTGGATCCCCTCCCCTATTCTTGATGTGCCTGGGCCCAGAGCTGGATCCACTTCCTCATCCCCAGGGTGTTGGGGCTTACCCAAAAGTTGGCAGCTTACCCAATAGGTTGCCCTATTCATTCTTGGAGTGTTGGGCTCATAACTGGGTCCCCTCCCTCATTCTCAGGGAATCTGGGACAAGATCTAGTCCTACCATCTCCCTTGATTTCCCTCTTTCTTGTAGGAGTCCCAAACCTGTAGAGGACCTTGGAGGCCTTCAGCTGATTCCACCTATAATGCTGGTGTGGATGGATGGACAGATGGAACCCAGGCAGGACAGCAGATCCCCATGGAGGCGGGTTCTCAGCTGGAAGTTCTGTTTGGACCCATTTCTATGAGACTCTGTGTTCCCAACTTGCCAGCTGAAAGGTGCCTGGACCTCTGACTTTATCCCAGAGCTGGAGGTCTACCTGCAGAATGTGTGTAGATGTGTATGTCTGTGTGTCTCCAAGTGTATGTGAGGCAGGGGACATGTGTTCTCTGCATGTATGTATATAGGTACCTGGTGAGTGTGTGTGGGTCTTATGCTCTTGGCTTTGCCCCTGGCGGGAGTTGTGAGGGTGTGAATAAAGAGAATGAGGAGGTTCTGTCTGTTGACATGTCTCACAGCTCCAGATTCAGGACTCACAGGAGACTGCATCGAACTTGGAGACCACAGTCAGAGAATATTGTGCATCGCTGCTTTATTACTTTGGCTACTGGGGGTCCCAGCCCATTTTCCCTATGAGCTCCAAACTCTGGTTGGGCTGAGTTCCCTGGAGCCTCTTCCCTTGGCGCTCAAACCACCGAATCAGGCTGCGGTTCTGGGGGTGGATGCAGACCTTGCGTTGAGACAGGTGAAGCCTGGGAAAGGAAAGGTTCAAAGCCACAGTCATAACTGGGGGGACGAGGGTGAGACCCAGGAGTTAAGAGGCAAAGGCCAGATGAAAACCTGAGTTGGCATCAGAATTAGCAATTGGGATGGGGTTGAGATCAGCATCCAGAGTTGGGACTGAGGTCAGAGTCAGGGACAAATCGGGGCAGAGTCAAAGCTCACACGAAGGCCTGGAGGTGACAGTCCCCGTCAGCTTCCTGAAGTTCCACTCGGATGACCCTCCTCAGTAGCTTGTTTGGGAGTGGCTGTCGGTAGAGCTGAGTACAGCATGCAGGGCTGAATGGCAGTAGCAACGCTAGGGGAACAGGACCGTGTGTTCAGAGGGCTTCTGACCCCAAACTCCATCAGAAGGCTGGAGGCTGGGCTTCCTGGGCCCCTTCCCCTCCATCCCAATCACCCAAATCCGGGCCTTCTAGACCTCCACTCACTCACCTCCTCCAGGGTCTGGGCTCAGGAACAACAGGAACAGCAGGAGGCCGCTGGTGGGCGAGGGTCCCTTCATGATGCTCAGCCTGGATGCTTCCTTCTCTCTCCTCCTTCCCTACCTGTTATCTGGGTGCCTTTTATACCTGGGGCACCAGGTGAGTCAGCCGCAGGTGAAGATGTATTGCTCATCTTGTGACATTCCTGGGCTCTAATTACCACAGACCCCTGTGCCACAAACCCCTCCTTTTTTAGGACTGCCGTTTCCCATGGGCTTCTAAGTTCTGGGCAGAGAAGCTGGGGAGATGGGTTATGCACGTGGGGGCTGATGGTACAGTAAGGGGGGCAGAGGATCCATAGTGGCATCCAGTGAGGACATTCACACTCATACCTGTAGTTATCCATTCACAGTCACACCTCAGTCACTGGATCAACCTCACATGGTCAGACAACCCCAGACGGAATCATATAGCCTCAGTTACACTCAAAGTCCCACTCCCACACAGTTCTGTTTTCACAATCATCCCACCACACTATCACACTAGCATACCCAAATTCTGATGGGGGCACTGTGGGTAGGGTGGGAGCACAGGGCAGGCTGGCACCAGCTTGCTTTCGTTTTCCCCTCCCTGTTTCCTGTCCTAGCCTGCTTGTCTTATCAGCAGACATTGATGGGAATGGGTCCCGAAAGCAGACCTTTTGGCTGAGGAGTCGTCTCACCTGGGCCAGTCACATTCAGAGTGAGAAGCTGGGAGGAGTCCCTTTTGGGTGGTAATGTGGTGCCTTGGGGATAACTGAGGTGCGGGTTGCTTTTCCCAGGAAGATGAGACAGAGGAAGGATGAAGTAGATAAGAGCGCACATGAGGGAAGATCAAAGTTCTTTGGTGCCAGGTTGCTGCTGTCAAACAGGTAAAAGACCCAAGAAACCTTACCTTCCTGTTTTTGCCAAGTCCTGTTCCAGAGATGCCAGCCTCCTACCAGCAGGGGCCTGGGGCTTCCAGTCCTTGACTTTTTGAGACATCAGATTCCAGAGCTCAATTGCTCAATTATCTCTCCTTTATTCTATTCAAATTCCTTTTTCTCTCTATTGTTGGCCTGGAAGAACTGCCCCCCACCCCCACAACCAACCCTTACACCCTTTGCATCCCATACTCTTGCTAAAACCCCAAGCTCCCATCTCCTTCCGGTCACTTCTCTTTTAATCCTGTATCCAGCCCTTACCTCCTCTTCCCCTTAATCCCTCCATCCCAATGCAAAACTATGCCTCCTCTTCCTCCTCCGGTCCTTTCCAGGAAGCTGAGACCAGCAAAGGGTGGGGGCAAGCTACTAAGTTTAGTGCCCTGGGCACCTTGAAGAATTTTCCTCTCTCGGTCTGGAAATTTCAACCCTCCTGTCCTGCTCTCTATGTGAAACGTAAACCAAGTCATAACCCAATAATCAGCCCTTATCTGGTTGCTTCAGGGATGCGGTCTGCAACCTTGTGCTCTGGGACCAGCTACCTACCCTCTGTGGGGCAGACCTACTCTTGGGACAGGGACTCACACTCCCCTGGGCATCTTCCTTCTGCACCAATCAGAAGGGACCATCAGCTTCCAGAATAGGGACTAATTCCCTACCAGGCCAAACAACTCGAGCTTCTCCTCATGCTCCTGTCCAGGTTAAGGCTCAGAGGTCCTTCCCTAGAGTCTGTTTTGTGATATTCAGGAAGTCTGAGTATCCTGAGGATTCTGAGGTTTAGGTCCAGGGTTGGATAGGGTACTCCACTTGGGTCAGGGTTCTTGATGCAGACATTGTGAGGAAATGCCTCAACAGCCTCTGTCCATTCTTGAGGGTGGCCATAACCTAGAGGTCACTCATCTTGGAATTTCTAATACCAGAGGCCTTCGAGTCTCTCACCCACCCTCCAGTCTGGACTTGTGCCCCAAAGCTTGGGTGCAGCCACTAAGGCACCATCATCTTGTCACAAATCTTCATCAGCTGGCTGTCTGTCACACACTGTGTAGTCTTTCCCAGACCAGTCAGTCCAGAGGGCTTGGAAGGAAGAAACCAAGTCTTCCAGATATGTACCCATCTCTCCCCTCTAGCTTCTCCAAAGACAGGGCCAGCTATAGCCTGCTATGGCAGGGGCGGCCCCAGGCTGAAAGCCAGCTCTGCCCCCACTCACAAACTGAGCTCTCTCTTAATTAAGGGCACCTTAATTCTTGGTGCTCTCCCTGGTGCTGGGGCAAGTCCCTAATTGAAAGCAGGTCCCCAAGGAGTCCCTGACTCTTCATCACTTTAGGAACTAGTGGATTTCAGGCCAAATAGATGACAAGACAGACAAGGAAGGTAGGGAGCAGGGGCCACTAGGTTCTCCTAAGGAGGTAACGTGGGGGACTGATGCCAAGAATCTTTGTACTTCATTTATTTATTTATTGGCCGTGCCACACTGGCATGCAGGATCTTCGTTTCCCAACCTGGGACGGAACCTGTGCTCCCTGTGGTGGGAGCACACAATCTTAACCACTGGACCATCAGGGAATTCCTTGATGTCCATTATCTTTAAAACTGGGATCAGACTGGAGGAGCCAGTAGCTGGGGTGTTAACTGTAGGAAAGACCTTCAACAGTTCTAAGTCATTCCCCTATGGCAGGCTGACAGCACAGCTTCTGTAAATCTTTCCCTCCTCTCACAGCATACTTCCTACAACTATGGACTTGAAAAATATTTTAGATCCTCTCCCAGGAGAAGATTCTTCAGACACTTGGCAAAGTCCTGTCTAGCAGGAAGGTGGCAGCAGAGAGCTGCGGTTGTGAGAATTTAGGGATGCGGGGATCTGGTTGGGAGGAGGACCAGGTCAGGGTTATTCAGTTCCCTCCATACAGGGCACTCAGAGTGATGAGTGTGTGTGTGGCGGGGTGAGGGGTTAGGTGGTGGAAGGCAGTCATTGATAGTAAGGGGATGTTGATTCTGATGAGGGACCGTTAGGAATAATGGGAGCCTGTACACGGAGGGGAACTCTATCAGGGAGAGAGGCCCTGTCAGTAAGGAAACAGCCAGCGTGGCCAGCGGCTCCCGGCCCGAATGGCGGCAGCGGCGGCAGAGTCAGGAGGGCGGCACGGTGGCTCTGGTTTAAATCTTTAATGCGCCGGCTGGCTGGGCAGTGGCTGCAGGGGTGCGGCGGGGGAGGCTGCGGCCGGAGCGCTGGGGAGCAGTGCCTAGGCCGCTCGACAGACAGCTCATCAGGCCCCGCAGAGGCTCCAGCTTCTGCTCCCGAGGGTGCGCCGAGCTGTGGGGCGACCCGACATTGGCATGAGATGGGGCGGGAGCTCCCAGCTTCCCCCCGATCGGTTCTCCCGGACTGAGCTTCGCCCATTCCCCGGGCGGGTCCGCGGTATCGCAGCCCCCTCACCTCCGCTCCCTTCGCCACATGCGCAGCCAGGGGAAAAAGTAGAAGCAGCCCCAGTAGATCCTGCAAAGAGAAGGCAGAGCCGGGCGGGGCGGAGCGGGGCTGACCCCACAGACTCCGCCCCTTGGACGCCTGGCCCCCTCTCTTGGAAGGTTCCGCCCCGCCCCCTAGAGGCGGTTCTCGATAGCCCACGCCCCTAAGAGGCCCCACAGCCCCCAAAGAACACGCGCCCTCCCCACCCCCCCACGCCGGAGCGGCTAAGGTTCCTCCTCCGCAGAACCCCGCCTCCACTCACTCCTCCTCCGCCTCCAGCGCCACCTCGTATCTCCTCAATCCCGACATGTCCTGGGTTCCGAACGTCTCCTGGGGAGCGGCATGATTGGATCAAGAATTCCCCAACCCCAGGTCCCCTTCTGTCATTACGTGGACAAGACTGACTTGTTCTCGGGTAATATGAGACAGGTGCCCTGGGAAGACTCGGGACAGGGTTGAAGATCTGGGAAGCACTAGACATTAAGGGATTGGGAGGTCGGTCACCTCGGGGGCATGGGGCATTTAGGTGGATAGGGCTTGGAGGTCATAGGGCCGGGATATTTGGGGCCCCGGGTGAGGATTTTCGGGGGATAGGGTCACCTGCAGGGGGGCTGAGGGGTCGGCGCAGCCTAAACGCCCACCCTCCCTGGCTCCACCCCGGAAGCAGACCTTTACGTTTTGTCACAGTGGTAGCGTCACGCTCTAGGGGTGGGGCTTACCTATTACCCGGAAGGGGCGGAGCCATAGCATCTCTTCGGAGGAGGCGGAGACTAGATGTCACATTAGGAGGTGGAGCCAGAGCCTTTGTCTAAAGCGGGGAGGGGGTGGTGTGGGGAGAGTAGGTACTTATTACTAAGGTGCAGGGCACAGAGCCCTCTTTTATAAGGATGGAGCCAGATTTTGGAGCTCCGCCCTGGGATGACGGAGACATCAGCACCAGGCAGCAAGAAAAGAGCTTTGGGACGCTGTCCTGTACTGTTTTACCAATGCCCTCTCCCCTCCATCTTGGCTTCTGCTCTGACAGTTGCCTTTCTTGTCTGACTCATTCTATATATATGATACTGGGCAGAGGAGGACTGGGTCTCCAGAGAGGGCCCAGTCTAGACAGGCCAGGCTATAGGAATACTTGTTGGCTGAGTGGCACGGGTCAACAGCCCTTCCTCTCTGAACTGAGACTCCATTTCCTGAGATTTTTGTTCCTGCAGTCATATAACCAATATTTATTTAGTGACTACTCTGTGCTGGGAAATGTGTGTGGGCATGAGGAAACAGCAGTAAAGAAGACAGGCACAGATTCTGCCCTCAGAGAGCTTATCATCTGGGTTGGACCTGCACAGGGTGGGGTGGGAGTGGGGGTCAAAAAAGACAATAAGATCACAGAGAGGAAGCTAGCTGGCTGGGGGCTGGAGAGGCTATTGGACTGAAGTCAGGAAAGAGCAATTAACTTAGTGTGGGGGGTTGGAAATAGCTGCCTTAGTTGGTCTGGGGAGTCTGGGAGAGAGCCTTGTGGCTGGACAGTATGGGAGAAAATGACCAGAAATGAATGAAATAAAAGTTCCCTTAAGCTGAAGTGTGGAGAATGAATTCACCTCTCCTCTTCCCACCACCCCACACTCTTTTCCCCCTCTTGTACCTATCTTCCCCTGCCTGGACTACATACAGACAGGTGACAGACAAATCCACTGATGCCAGTTGGAAGCTTTGCAGTCTGGGTGTGGAGAACCTGTGCCTTTACCAGACGCATCCGCACTAACACTTGCTCTTACACCCACAGTGACACTCCTGCCCTGCTGCAGCCGAGTCATGTCTGCAGGAGGCCTCGTCCCCACCACTTTGGTGATTCACATCCCTTCACTCAGATGCAAGACTCTGTCTATTATATAATAATTTGGCCTTTGTCCCTATTCCTGAAAGGGAGACACTAAAGCTTTGGAATATCCCAACTAATACAAGTTCTTTGTTATTTGTGAGCCCCTTGGGTCACACCTGAATTTATGCTAAGAGACGAGGTGACTTGGGATAGAGGCTGGTCAGCAGAAAGACCAACCATATCATTGCAGAATTGAGGCTTTGAGCCAACCTGTCTGGGGAGATTGAGTTATGTCACCAACAATTCATTCTTGCCTGTGTATGAAATCTCAGTAAAAATTCTGGACATCAAAGCTTGTGACCTTCCTGGTTGGTGAACATGTACTGTTGATGAACACGTACTGGGAGGGTGATGTGCCCTTTGTGTCTCCGTGGGGAAAGAGCATGGGAGCTCTGCATTGAAATCCTTGTGTGTCTTTCCATTTGGGTATTCCTGATTTATATTCAGTTCAGTTCAGTTGCTCAGTCATATCCGACTGTTTGCGACCCCATGAACCACAGCACGCCAGGCCTCCCTGTCTACCACCAACTCCCGGAGTCCACCCAAACCCATGTCCATCGAGTCAGTGATGCCATCCAACCATCTCATCCTCTGTCGTCCCCTTCTCATCCTGCCCTCAATCTTTCCCAGCATCAGGGTCTTTTCCAATGAGTCAGCTCTTCGCATCAGGTGGCCAAAGTATTGGAGTTTCAGCTTTAACAGCAGTCCTTCCAATGAACACCCAGGACTGATCTCCTTTAGGATGGACTGGTTGGATCTTCTTGCAGTCCAAGGGACTCTCAAGAGCCTTCTCCAACACCAGAGTTCAAAAGCACCAATTCTTCGGCTCAACATTCAGGAAACTAAGATGATGGCATCCGGTCTCATCACTTCATGGCAAATAGATGGAGAAACGGTGGAAACAGTGGCTGACTTTATTTTTCTGGACTCCAAAATAACTGCAGATGGTGATTGCAGCCATGAAATTAAAAGACATTTACTCCTTGGAAGGAAAGTTATGACCAACCTAGACAGCATATTAAAAAGCAGAGACATTACTTTGTCAACAAAGGTCCATCTAGTTAAGGCTATGGTTTTTCCAGTGGTCATGCATGGATGTTGGAGTTGGACTATAAAGAAAGCTGAGTGCCGAAGAATTGATGCTTTTGAACTGTGGTGTTGGAGAAGAGTCTTGAGAGCCCTACTTTATTAAAAACTAATTGTGAGTATAGAACTTCTGAGTTCTACGAGTCATTCTAGTGAACTTTCAGATCTGAGTTTTAGAACCTCCTGGACTTGTAGCTAGTTAGTCAGAAATGCAGGTGGCCTGAGGACCCGACTTGTTGCTGGCGTCTCAAGCAAGCTTGTTGGGATTGTGCCCTTAAACCTGTGGAATCTAACACTAGCTCTGGGTGGTTTGTGTCTCAATTAAATAGCAGTTGAATTGAAAGAGCTCCTGGGCTTCCCTGGTGGCTCATTGGTAAATAATCCACCTGCCAATGCAGGAGACACAGGTTTGATTCTTGGGTCGGGAAGATCCTCTGGAGAAGGAAAAGGCAGCCAACTCCAGTATTCTTGCCTGGGAAGTCCCATGGACAGAAGAGCCTGGCTGGCTACGGTCCATGGGGTCACAAAAACTCAGACAGGGCTTAGCAACTAAACAACAACAACAAGAATTGCTAGCAGAATACCTTTCCACTGAATACACTCCCCACTCTCTCCATCTGTCTGGGTGAACCTTTTTTCCCTTTCATAACTCGCTGTTCCCATAGCTTCCCTGTTCCCATTTCCCGCTGCTTATCTTTAGCTCTGAGAACCTCAACATGCAACTTTTTGGACAAGGCAAGGGGACTGAATTGCGCTATTAGGGGAGGGTTTGCAGTGTCATCCTCTTGAAGGCATTTGAACATCAGTTTTTTTTTTTTTAATTTATTGATTTTGGTTGCATTGTCCAGCATGTGGGACCTTAGTTCCTGACCAGAATCAAACCCGTGTTCCTGCCTTGGAAGCTCAGAGTCTTCACCACTGGACCACCAGAAAAGTCTCTTGAACTTCAGGTTTAAGGCAAAGGGTCAGAGCTTAGTTCAGAATTAGAGATCAGAGCAAAGGGGGTGCCTCCCTTTTTCTGAGGTTTCTCCTCACTCCTACCTCTTCTCTGTGGTCCTAAGATTACTGGATTGGGAAAGATGGCACCCAGCTGGTCCCCTGGATTCCCTGAGGACAGTCACAAGTAGCAGGTTAAGCCTGAAGACGGTCTCCTCCCGGGTGTCGCTAAGCCCATCACAGTGCCTACACATCCGTCGTCTGAGACATGTTCCTCTCTTGACTGAGCAGGGCTAAAACAAAGGTTCTTTGGAAGCAGGGCCAGCTCTCGGGGTGCTAGGGCTCTACCTCCTGGCCCAGCCAGCACTGTCCCTCTCCCCCACTATTTTCCTAGGCTCCAAGCTGAGCCTAGGCAGCGGAAGGAGCATAAGGGCACCTTGACTTAGAACACCCCCTTCTGCCATGACTTCCCTATCCTCGAAACTGGGAGGGGATTTCTGAGGAGAGGGGCTGGTCAATTCACAGAGACACAAGAAAACTAGAGATGAGGATGGGGAGCAAGTGTTTCCCTAACCTGATTAGAGGGACCCAAGAGACAGACCAGAGGAGGAGACCTCTCAGGAGACACAATTGTGGAGTGTTGTTTTGTTTCCCATTCCCAGCCCTAAAGCAAATGATGTGACAAACCTAACTGTGGGCCCATTTTTGTCTTTCCATCATCCATCCATCCATCCATCCATCCATGTTTCTGTATGTCTCCCCATCTTTGTCTCTTTATTTTCCCGTCTTGCCTTTCATCTATCTTCACATCTTCATCTTCATTTATTCATTTGTATGTTTAAACATTGGAAGGACTGTTGCCGAAACTGAAGCTCCAATACTTTGGCCACCTGATGTGAAGAGCCAACTCATTGGAAAAGACCCTGATGCTGGTAGAGATTGAGGGCAGGAGGAGAAGAGGGTGACACAGGATGAGATGGTTTGGATGGCATCACTGATTCAATGGACTTGGACTTGAGCAAACTCCAGGAGGTCATGAAGGACAGAGAAGCATGGTGTGCTGCTGTCCAGATCGCAAATAGTTGGACACGACTTAGTGGCTGAACAACAACAACAATGTTTAACCATTAGCCATCTATTAATACGTTCATTCATCTATCAAGTTATGGTAATAATTAACGTTTGTTGATACTTAAGTGCCGTGCACCATGCTAAATGCTTTAAAATAATTTTCTCATGGCAGATCTCTGAAGTAGAATGCTGTGAGTGATGTTTTTGTTCATGCAGACATTTTTTTATACTCCTTTTTCTGGCTTCTTTAGAGAATTTTTCTCTCACTCCATGTGGTCCTGTTGGCTTTGTCAGTCATAGTGTTCTGACAAGAAGAGTACCTCATTGCCTGGCCACTGTAATATATTGAAGAATTGAGTTTATGTCATAAGCACAGTTCAAAGGTTTGCATGAGATTTGATGTTAGGAGAAAGAGGGCCTCTATTTTGGATCACTTACTATACAGATTTAGACTTGAGGCTTTCAGTGGCCATATTTTCTGCTGCTAGAAGATAACCTGTTTATAATAGGAATAAGGCCCCTACAAAAAAGGATTAGCGAGAAGTCAGGTTAAAAGATGGAGATAACATTATTCGAATTCCTGGGTCCAACCAGGGCTGAAGTAGACTAAATCTTAATCTGTGATATGACATATTTAACTTTTTGCTTAAGCTACTTTAAGTTGGGTTTTGTCATTTTCAACAGAGAAAGGCCTGGATAATGATCATTGTATTATTATCCCCATTTTACAGATGAGGAACTAAGGCCCAGAAAGATTAACTTGCCCAGTGTTTCATGGCTTATAAATGGCAGAAAACTGGTGCCTATTTGGAGGAAAACTCTGACACACTACCTATATATGTCTGTCCATCTGTTTGTTCATCCATCCATCTATTGATCTATCCCATTTATTTATTTATCTGGTCATCCTTCAGTGCTAAGACACCAGAGGCAATAAGACTTGTCAACTCCCATTTGAGGCTGGGTTTGGATCAGAGGTTAGCAAACCTTTTTGATGAAGGTCTAGATAATAAATAAGGTTTTGCAGGCCATACTGTCTCTGTAGCCCCAAAGTAGCCACAGACTATACGTAAATGATTAGGCATGGCTATATTCCAATAAAGCTTTATTTACAAAAGCAGGCAGTAGGCTGGCTGGGCCATAGCTTGCCAATCCCTGATCTGGATCAGTGGGGAAGATGCATACATTCTGTCATTGTTGGGAACACGAGTAGGGAATGGAAGCCTATATCCCTTGCATTTGCCATTACTCATGTAGTGGAAACAACAGAATTTTTTACTCAAACTCTTGTATTTGAATCCAATTTTAGAACCCTGGACAGTCAAGGAAATGGGATCTGTAAAATGGGAATAATTTGTATCTTGTGAGATAGTCCATGTGCCTGACTCACAGTGAGTGGGTGCTCACTGGTGGTTAGGTCCATCCCCTTTTCTCATTTATCACCTCCCGTTAATTACCAGTATCAGGAGGCCTCTCTGTTTTTAGGGTGTCTGGAATGCGGTCGGGATAGTTTAGTCTGGTTTGCTGAGCTCAGGAGCTTCTAAGAATGAGCTTCAACTTCGAAGAATGAGCTTTCATTCAAGTTATAAAGATTAAGCTCTTGCGTACTCCAAATTTCTTTTTAGTAGCTCTACCTCAACTATTTTTATGAGAATGACATGCTACCTACTGCGCTAACGGGGCACCTACCTCAACTATTTTTAAAAAATAATTTTATTTACTTATGGCTGTGATGGGCCTTCCCTGTTGCACTTTTTTCTAGTTGTGGCAAGTAGAGGCTACTCTTCATCGTGGTGCACTGGCTTCTTATTGCGTTGGCATCTCTCCTTGCAGAGCGTAGGCTCTAGGTGCATGGGCTTCAGTAGTTGTGCCTCATGGGCTTAGTTGCCCCTCAGCATGTGGGATCTTTCCAGATCAGGGATCAAACCAGTGTCTCCTGTATTGGCAGGCAGACTCTTTACCACTGAGCCACCAGGGAAGCCGC